GTGAAAAACTGAATAATTTCTCCATAATATCAGGAACCCAGCAAGACTGTGGCTTCTGCTATTTCTATCCAGCTTTGTGATGGAGTTCCTAGCCAGTGCAATAGGGAAGTCAAAGAAATGAAAGGCAGCTACATTGAAAAGAAAGAAGTAAAACTGTCTTTACTTACAGATAACATTATTATCTATGTAAAAATGTCCTAAGGAATGTTCAAGGTGGCAAACTATAAGGTCAATTGGATTTCCATAAATGACCAACAAATACAAATTGAAAAAACACAACTTAAGTAGCATCAAAACATGAACCACTTTTAAGTAAATTATCAAAGGATAGGTAATTGCAGTAAAAACATCAAAATACCCGGCCATCTGAATCAGTGGACTCTGCATCCACAGATTCAACCAGTCGTGAACCCCCAGGACTGTAATCCAACTACTTGGAAGCGGAAGCAGGAGGATCGCAAATTCCAGGCCAGGCAGGGCAATTTAGCAAAATCTTGTATCAAAATAAAGTGGATGGGAATGTAGCTCAGTGGTAAAGTGTTCCTCAGTTCAGTCTCCAGTACCAGGAAAAAAAAAAAAATAAGCAAATTAAAAAAAAATACAAAAAGTGAAACTTGAATTTACCATAAATCCAGAACTCCTCTCAATCTACGCAAAAGAAGTGGTACGCATGCGCGCCCTGCTGCAGCAGCAGCAGCAGCAGCAGCAGCAGCAGCAGCAGCATGTTACAGAGCCTCAGCCCTTCCACCGCTTGTGGTTGGAGCATGTCTCACCCCTGTCCTATTTGGGCAAAATATATTCAGTAGGCCTGCGACAGCTGCATCTGTACTGTACATGCACAGGCTTTATTTTTCTTGTTATTATTTCTTAAATAATGCAGTATGACAACTCTTTACACTTAACTCTTTACCATCATCATATTAGGTATTGTAACTAATTCTGGGATGACAAAGTATGCAGAAGGACGTGCATAGATTATCTGCAAAAACTATGCCTTTTTATATAAGGGATTGAACATTTATGTCTGTGGATTTGGGCATCTGCAGGGGGCGCTGGAGCTAATTCCTCATGATATCAAGGGACAACTAGAAAATTCCAGTCTTCTCTAATGAGCTGTTAGCAAACCTGACCAAGCTCTACCCTAGAGGGGGACTTTGTCTTTACAATTCTGAGCCTCAAACAGCTCTGCCTCTGCTCCATAGAGGCACTATTTCCATGTAGGCAGGAGTCTTGCCCATTGAGATAACTGCCAAATTCGAGGACCTAAAACAGTGCTTAGCTCTGTAGAGTTGTAGAATAGAGGGATAAAAGTTTGGAGGATGTATGTGGAAGTAGCCGTGTAAGTGCCTGAAATCACAGCAAGGACGCGGATTGCAAGAAGCCGCGGCTCCCCACACTCAAATGCTCTGGCCGCTTCATGTCCTCTACTGCAGTAAAGCTCCTGTTTTGTCAGAAGGCTTCAGCAAGCTGCACTCTGAATCTACCCGCTTGGCCTTCTGTGACTCAAGGAAGGACCATGGCCTCTACCTCCCACAATGCTCTGCTCTGCAGTGCCCTTCTCTGCAATGTAATGGTCCCCTCAGGTAATGAATTTGGATGGAATGAACTCTGCCGGCTGCCTCATTCAGGCTTAAGCATTTTACAGAATAACCCAACAAAGAGAAATCTGTTCTATAATAAATATTTGTGGAAGGAATTAATTAAAAAATGACTTTCTGCAGCTGGATCATTGTATCATGTTCTCATGCATTTTCTGACTAGGAAACCAAACCCAAGTCTTTCCAGGGAGAAAGAAAGGATGCCTAATCATCTCAGGCTAATGAAAGATGCATTCTCTCTGGAAATGTCTTTGCATCCACCTGATCCTACCCGCAGCCCTTCGGGAGAGCAAGCTGAACAAAATTAGAAGTGTGAAGGAATACACAGAACAGAGACAAAAAAAAAAAAAAAGTTTCTTTCATTTCAAAAAGTGACTTAATTCCCAGTCAAGTCTAAAGCTTTGACCAACCAAAGGGTCTGCAGCTCAAGTACTGCACAGAAAATACTGGATCTGATTCTGTTTGGAGCAGTCAGCATGAAATGTAATGAAATTCAAAATAGACAGGATACACATGCTCCAGAGGGAAGTCATTAATACCCATGAATAATGATAAAGCAAAATACCATCTGCCAGGATAATGTGGCAAATCTTTTTAAAATTCCAATTAGCCTATAAACCAGAAACAGGGAGCAAATATGTTCCCCTACCATGTGAGACCATGTGTCCTTGATGTCTCCATCGCTTTATATGTAAACTAAAATGTGGGTGATGGAAACATTACCAGTGTATGAATACATTTTGAAGATTACATTCATTATTCTTCAGGACACGGGTGCTATTTACGTCGCCAGGTGAAACAGAATGTGTTAATCTACTAATTAAGGCCACATATGTATTTTCCCATATAGCTTAATTGTGGGGGTGAAAATTTGTGTCTGTTGGAAACACAGTATATTAATTCTGTTAAAACAATGCAATTGGATTTAATTCTTACATGTATTTGGAGACAGAGATAATGAAGCATTTCTGTCACACTTACCCCAGACAAAATTGTCTAGTCTATGATGGATTCTGATATTCTAGGCCATTTTCCTGAGCTGCATTTCATGAAACACAACCCTATTAGAGTCATAACACCCATTATCAGCTCTTTGTGTTATAGCCTGAAAAGAAATTGTTCTGATCACAGACATGTAGGATAGGTTCACAGGCAACTCATCTATCGTTTGTCTTTGAAAATATTGAAGTACAACAAACTACTTCTGAGCGCTGATATTTCCCCATATCGCTTGCTTTTCTCATGGTGTGGTGTAGTGTAAATGACAGAGGAATTAGTGTGTTTGGAATTTCTAATCCCGGGGCTACCATTGCCCAGCTATATCATTTTTAGAGAACTTATTTGTCTTGTGGTACCCTGGTTTCCTCACCTATAAAATGTCTCCCTGTTATTGTAGGAATAAGAGGAAAAGTCAATTGTAAGAGTAGAAAAAAATAAATGTGAAAGATCTTTGAAAAGTTATAAAACCGTCCAATAATAAAAGTCATTTTTATTTTATCAGGACTAGATAAAGTAGGTAGAGATGTCAGTACTATATTAAGATGTAAAATTAAACATCAAAAAAAAAAAAACAGATGACCAAATAATCTCTCTAGCCAAGCTTGGAGCACTCCATGTTGATGCTGCGTTAGAGAGCTCTTGTTTAATCAGCAAGATTATTAGTTCCCAGAGATCTGTCTCCTTCCCAGAATTTAGGATGAGCTGATACTCAACCTATGGCCAAATTCCTAAGGAGATCTGCTTAGATCTTAAGGCTATTCGTACTGGGGCAGTCAGGAGTTTTATTGGAAGAGGATGCTATAGTCCAATTATATATTTTTTTTATTTTTTGGTTATTGGCGGACACAACATTTTTGTATGTGGTGCTGAGGATCGAACCCGGGCCACATGCATGCCAGGCAAGCGCGCTACCGCTTGAGCTACATCCCAGCCCTAGTCCAATTATTAACAACAGAATTTCCATTATCCATGAGTTGTAAATAAGGTGAATTGTATCATTTAAAAAAATTCCTAGTCATTTACTTTGGCATACGTCAGAACACAAGCCCAAGTACTCCTGCACTTTCCCCAGCACATCTCTTCCAACCTAGTTTTGAAGACTACAATTCCTGAGCAATGGCAGTGATGTGGGGTTTGGGGGTTTGGGAAACTTCAGAGAATCTGCAAAGCCAGTAATTCTCATGCAGACCTTTAAGAATTTACATGGCAATCGTACAGGGAGATGTGGGCTCAACATCAATTTATTTCTGCCTACCTTGGGGCCTAGCCATTTTATTTGTAGCAATCTATTTGAACAAAACACTACTATGGTGTCCAATGATGTGTGTGCAAGGATGTTCATAAAGTCATTTTAATAGCAAAGAACTCTATTTTGCAGGAATGTGATTGCATAAAATAAAGTACATTTACATAATGGGATACCATGAAGCTGATAAAAAATTGAGAGGTCTACCTATATATACTTCCCACAGAGATCTCCAAGATACAGCATAAAAAGGCAAAAGCTCTGTGGAGCTGATGACGTGTCAATACAAGTTCCTCAGTTGTAATGAATGTTCCATGGTGATGGGGAATGTGGATAACGGGGGAGCTGTGTATATGTAGGGGCGGGGGGCATGTGGGGAATATCTGCATCTTCACTCACTTCACTGCTGTGAACCTCAAACTGCTTTAATAAATAGTCAATTTAAAAAGAAAAAGGGGGAAAAAGCACATTGCAAAGTGTTACATAAAATGCAATCACATTTAGGCTAAATATGAAATGAAAATAGAGATAGGTTATAGACACAGATGCACAGAAAAGAAATCGAAGGAGTGAAAGAATACAAAACAGTGATGTGGTTTTGCTCCTAGAAAATAAGAGAGGCACAGGGAAGAGATACAGTGGAGGAAAAGAGGCTTTAACATTATGGTTCTTACCCTTCTACACTGTTTGAATGTTGTACAGAGTAAACGTAGCCTTCTGTTCCTTACGTAAGAGAGCAAAATACCACCCAACATGACAGGTAAGCAAACAAAAAGACAGAATCAAAATGAGCCAAGTGCCAATCATCTTTACATCAAGTGATGTGTCTGAAAACTCAATAACCCAAATAACATCTTAAATCTTAAGATGTCTATGGGTCCATTAGAAACATAGAGTCCTACTGTACTGTTGCTAAGAAAGCTGAACAGGATGGCTTTAATATATATGATCAAACTAAAAACAAAACAAAAAAATGCTGGAACCTCAGCAAAACTTTAAATTATATTTATATATACATATATATCATTTATTGAAATATAAAGATCTTCATTTACAGGTTTTAAGAGGGGAAAAAAATGAACAGGGGCATTTGAAATACATTTTGTATTGATGTACCTTCCCTAGCAAGTTCTTGTCACACATTCACCACACCACCATTTTGGGAACATGTAAGTATTTTTTCTCTTTATTATTTCTAAAATATAAATTTTGGACATTCAAAAGTGCAACAGTTAATGTGCCTGTGGGGAATATCACAGTTAAAAAAATATAAACAAAGGCAGTGATACAGCTTGTCATAAATGTTTTGGCAGTATTCTCCAAGTCTATATAGAAATACATATATACATATCGATGTATAACATCATTTTATCTCATGTCCCTCTTCACAAAAATAGGACCATTTTGTACAGATTGGCAGACCACATTTTAAGGATATTACCCATCATTTAAAAAAAAAGTCACAAATTGTGTTTCGCATGTCAGCTTTGATTGTCATCATAAAAATAGAAAGCAAGGAAGGATTGGCAATTTTTCTCGAGGGGGACTTTGCAGGAGATTCAAAAGGAAGCAAATCTGAGACACACCGAAAACACTGCAAGGGGGAATAAAAAGAGTCCCATTTCATCCTAGGTGGGAGCATTTGTAAGGACTGAAAGCGGCTGGTCTGAGAATCTTTGTTCAGCCTCGGTGATGTCATGCAAGACTCAAAGTAACATCAGAATGCAAAGCACCAACAAAATAAGGCTGTGCAAGGGAGAGTGGGTGATAAACAGAATGCTTGAGCTGTGATTCTAGAAACACACAAAATGTATTTCAAGTCTAATTGGCTCCACGGAACCTAGTCAGGTTTTCGTTTTTAATTGGCCAATCTGGCTCAGTCTTCACACTTCCTATGAAAAAGGTGGGTAAGAAAGTTGGGGCTTGCATTGAGATGACACCAGTGGGTAGTCAAGTACCTCGTTATTGCTGCTACATCTTCCAAAGCATCACCTGCCGGAAGCACATACAGTGATTGCAGTAATCACAGCCCATGTTTCATTCATTTGGTGTCGGCAATTAAGAACATTGCGGAGAATGCCGATGAACCCGCACTAACCAATTTGACAGTTTGGATGGATGTGACAGTCCATCCTCCCACCTAATCCCAAAATATTAGGAAAACTTTTTAATCTTTTTCACCAGAATATTGACCTGGCTATCTGTCCAGAGACCAGGAAATGTTGCAAACAGAATTGTGTCATGTATTTTGCGTCCTTTTCCTTGAGGGGGACAAATCGGTTCCACCGTGCAGTAGGAAGCTGTGACTTTACTTTGTCTCAAACTTTTAGAAGATGTGCCAAAACCAAGATTTAGCTTTCCAAGCCTCAACTAAGACAGGAAAGTTAAATTAAGGGCAGCAATTGCTAGATATATGGCATTAAATGTCAGTGACCTAAAGCCAAAAGGACTTAAATAGTAGGCTTCCGACATGGTTGACTTTTAGCTCAGTTCCAAATTTCCAATTATTTTTTTTTCCCCATGGCAACCTAAGCCAGTGTTTTTGAAAAGTGACTGATCAGAATAGCCAGGGAGTTATTAACATAGAGGTCCCTGCTTCCCTCAAACGAATCCAGAATCTCTGGAATGGAGACATAGAATCTAGTGATTGTAGCTGCCGGTCATATGTGGGAATTAGTGTCAGGCTAATGCACACTCAGCCTTCATGAAACAACACCTTTATCGTCTCAGGGTTTTAAACTCTCTCTTGGGGGAAAGAGATGAATGAAAGACGCTGATGTTAGAGCATCCTTCTGGTTCTTAAGGTTTGTAGATTTGGGGATCCACCATAGTTATCACAGGTCATGAAAGAAGTCTCTCTGCAAATCCTTTCTTCTTGCTGACTGTTGTAAATTCCACTGGATCATGACACAAGAAGTCATTGGCACAGGCTCATGCCTTTCTATCGGGCACACTGAGGATTCAGGGGTTTTGCTTATTTCTAATCCCATTACTTTGTGGGTCATTAACTGATTCTAGTATCATGGATTAGGGAACCTATTTAGTACACAATTAAAAGCTTTGACTTCCTGGACATCACTACTTATACTTTGCTCTCTATGCTTACTAAATTTAATCAACTAACACTATTATCATATTTTATAGAGAAACATGTTATTTAATATAAATGTCAGAAACTGTCAAACTTGTCACCTACCTAGTAAGGTTTTTTTTTTTTTTAATTGTGCTTTCTCTGTAGGGAAATCATGTTACATATTACACATTTAGCATTACTGGTAACAGTAGTATTATTATAAACATTGATTACAATACGAAAATGAGTTGTTGGGCTTCCAAAGGACCCAAATCTATCAAACAAGGTTGGTTAATCGTTATCTTTTATCTCTTTAACGCTGAAAAAAAAAAAAAGGTAAAATGTGATAGTACCAGTACCTTTTAAGGTTCAAGAGTGGTTTTGCATGCACTTCATTAAAAAGTTCAACAGCAGCTGATAACCAGGTTTCAAGAGAGAAGTACATGGATGGATTGAGTGGTCTCTTCAGAAGTCCAGAGAAGATAGTTAATACAAATCTAAACACATCCTTGGTTAGAGTTATTTACATAAATACAATGCTAGAGTTTTGTTGCAGTACGAATTCTGTCTGTGGGAATCTCACCAATGCCCTTGAAACACAAAGCTCGACTTCTGTGGCCTTATTATTCCCTTGTCCACCTATTTCCAAACTTCACACACCGCTGAGATGCTCCTGAAGCATTGCAAGAGACAACGCTGAAAAAGTTCATTTCAAAGTATCCCATTCGTTCCTATGTAGAAGGCTCCCTGAGGCCCTTGGCTGGGAACTTCACACATCACCCAATCCTCCTCTGGACCGTTGCATTGTGATAAAGTGGTTTTCTTAGAGGGACCCGAAAGTGGCTCCTGGAGTAGAAGGTACACCCCAAATCTGCTGGTTACAGGAAGCTGTCCTCCACCAGGTCTGAGGAGTCTATGCCAATGTCATCCATCATGTCGATGTCCTCAATGGTCTCGTCCTCTCTCTTGATGAAGGTGGAGCTGCTGGAACCTGTCTCAATGGCACTCTCTTCAGAGGTCTGTGAGCTGGCAGAGGGGGAGAAAAGGAAAGGTGAGGCATGGGTACGCATCAGCTAGGCCGTGACCCCGTTTCCAGGGTGGCTGCCAAGGCAAATGAGCAATACTCGCAAGATTCTTCGGCCCTCACACTCAGGCTGCCAGATGTGGCTAGCCTGCTACCATGACAGACAGCTGCTCATCATCCCTTGCTGCACGGGTCACGTGGAAAACCAGAGTGCACAGGCCTTCTTTACTCAGCTTTCCTCCTCCCAGGTCTTACATCTGAGTTGCAAACAAGCTGTAATAATTTCTACTTTCCCTATGCAATGCTAATGGAAGAGAAGATAAGCTACGGCTGATAAAAAGTCCTCAGGAAGGAAGAGGGAAGAAAGGAAACCAGCAGCAAGCACAGCCAGAGCATCCACTTGCTCTCCCTGAGACTTCCTGAGCTTGCAGACTGAGTTCTGGGGATTTCACTCCTCTCTCCTGAAATGTCTGTTCCCCCTTCCCATTGCATCCTGCACCCTCTAAGTCTCAAAGGACCAGGTGAAGGCTCTTCCTTACTAGAATATGAGCTAAGAGGGAGGGTAACTAGAGTAAAATAGCCTTAGGTCTGGGGTGGTCTTCACACACCTTACTTAACATCTTGAACTTGAACTTGTCTTCTTGCCTATAAAATGGCGTGACAAGAATGCCCAACAGTATACCTGCTGGGGTGATTAAATAAGGTCATAATCATGAAGCATACAAATGTTCAATAAATGTTAGCAATTGTTATTCAAACTTGTATTCTGAATCTGAATAAAGTCTGGGCATTACCTGATAATCAGGGAAGAGCTCTTAATTTTCTTATGTCTGATCACAATATTGTGATCATGTGGAAAAGTACGCTTATTTTTAGGAAGTGTATATTGTACCCTGGGAGGGAAGTATCTTGGTGTTTCCCATCTAGTTGCAAATGATGGATCAAGAAACATAAAGTTTGAATATGGCTGTATGTGACATGCTATGCGTATACATTCTACATATAATAGGTGACGCACAACATCGGTTACTTACATGGAGCTAGATAAAGCCAATGTGACAAAATGTCAACAACTGTTAACTTAAATGGTAGATATATTCTTACAACATCTCTGTACATTTAAGCATTTTTCACCAAAGTTTTTGGGAAAATTCTTTTCCCTAAAGTCACCAGCCTGTCATGGTTCCCCGTCTGTCCTCCCTTCTGTGAACCTTACAGTCTTATCCTTGTTCTGCTTTGTATTGCTATCGTTGTTTTTCTGTATATCTTTTTTGCTCCAAACTCATCATCCTCTGCTGATGGGCAGGACCAAAGTTTATTCTCCTCATTGTGAGGCTGCTGTACACATGGTTTATAGACCATAAAGAGAGCGTGGCCATCCATAAGGACATTGTGTGCACCCACACTCACACACCCTCACACGTGCCATCACCCTCCAGCCACGTCCTATCTGGCCCACTCTGACTCCTTGGTCCATGTTCCTCCTCTCTCTATCCATTTCTAAGCGGGGAATCATGGCTGGCCACTTGGAAGCCTAGAAACAGTGATTGGAGAGCTCCCAGAACCCTGAGCCGTGCTGTCCCTTCATGATCCCAGACTGGGACTTTCCCTGGAACTGAGCCTTTGCCTCCCCATTTATACCCTGGTCCTGGCACCTCATTTTGAACCCCAGTCTATTCGGCTGGTCTTGATGATCACCTAGTCCTAACGCCCCTCTCTCTGGAAGCTGGATGCTGCTTATAGGTCCCTGGCCCCAGCTAGAGGCCCAATGAATCCTTGGCTACTACCCCAACCTAACTAAGATTTGCACTGATGACACTACCATGAATGCCATGGTAGGAACTGCTGCCCCCACCCCCCCCAGGGGGAGGGGGGAGTTTGACAGGTAAGTCAGACCCCTCTGCTTATCTATCTTACAGGCCAGAGGCAGGAATGTGGGGACAAAAGCAGGTAACTGCCACTGGGAGTGAGGAGCCATTCCTGCCAGATGCTTTGGCACCCAAGCTCAGGCTTCACCGTGACAGCTGACAACTGGACTTTCAACTGGTTCCTGAGCAATTGTGCCCACCTTGTAGCCCAAGGCCTGGTTCCAGTGAGTTCTAACCTGGTACTCCAAGCCCTCCACAGCAAGACCCTGTCTTTCCATGCCCACTTCCCTCCCAAGGCCAAAAACATGAGCCTTAGGAGAAGGCTGATAACTTCCTGGCTGACTCCTGTCTGACTGGGCCCAAAGCCTCCCAGCTGGGTCTTCTCCCACTCAGCCCATCTCACCACTTAGGGCCAGAGTCTCACCTGACGTGGTGAGGATATTTGGGATATACCATGAGTGTTTCCAAGAAGACCAAATACATTGCCCTCGTAGAAGTCCAAATTAGCAAATCTAACAAATACCTAGCAACTAGAATTGTTCTCTTTGTAGAATTTTGTAAATCCTGCCACCCAGCCTGGTATAGTCCTACAAAACTCCTAGGCATTTTTCTGATGTCTTTTTTATCAGAAATATTCATCTGATATCATTTACCCTGTGATTTCTAACTTTATTTTGAACCCTTTCACAGGTGACGTATTACTCTTCAATCCGAAGAAAGCAAATGGAGAAAAGATCTGAGAGAGCCTCTAGACCCACTGCCCAGCCTTCCCTGGGCCACCTGAAGTTCCAGCACAGGCCCCAAATGTGGAGGAACACTGTTTGCCCATTGTAAAAGCTGCCTACACAAAGCATAATTAGAAAGGTAAATCAGACAGGCCATTTGGCCCCACCTCCAGTTCCAAAAACAAAAACTGTGCTTCCAAATTACCCAGAGCCTCCAGATAAACAAGGGCTGACTGTACCTTCTACTTATATTGGTTAGAGAAAGTATAATCAGAAACCTCCAAAACACTGCTATGCTCTTCTGCCTAAATAACTGCATGTATTTAACTGAATGACTAAGGAAGAAGGTAAAGCAATGTCCTGAACAAAGGGAGCAAAGAACCATGAGCAACGTGGACCCTGAACCAGGAGTCACTATCACCCTGCCAAGGGCCAGGCGATGAGAGCTGGGAACAAGGTCAAGGTCCTGTCCATCTGGTCCACATGAGCTAGCAGTTCTCAGACCTGGCTGAGCATTAGCATCACCAAGGTGATAAATTCATGAATCTCAGTAATGATCACCAACACTGCTCATGTCACAAAAGACAGTAGGACAATTGTACCTCCTGACTGAAGGACACACATCATCTCTGAAGCATGTCTTCTGAAAATCCACCTGACCCAGTCAAGCCTCAGAACCAACACCCAGTAATACGACCAATACGGGAGAAAATAAAGACACCACAGGGATGGGATCAGCAGGATTCTGAACATGGAGCCCCACTTGCAAACACTCTGGTTTCCTCACAAATGATATACAAGGGGCCACAAAGGAGGCCAGGAGAACTTATAGAGATATATCAACAAATGCCATGTGTGACTTTTATTTGGGTCTTGAATAGAAAAAAAAACAAATGTACAATAACATTTGTGAGATGACCGGGGAAATTGCAACTCTGGGTATCTGTTGCTCTTAAACCATGGCCCATTTCTTAGGGTGAGAAGATGGCACTGTAGTTTTTTTTATAATAACTTTTAATAACTGTAGCAATTTTTTTATAACAGAGCGCTTATCTCTTAGAGAAACCTACAACAATATTGACAGATGAAATGATATGATGTCAAGGTTTGCTTCTAAATAATCCAGAGGGGACCCAGGAGGTGAAGGTATGGTTGTGCATGCAATCAAACTAGCCCTGAGTTTGGACACATCAAAGTTGGGTGATGGACACCTGACACTACTATACTATGTAAATTGTGCATTTGTTAGAAATTCTCCAGAATACAAGTTTAAAAAAAAAAAAAAAGAACAAATAATCAGCCTGGATGTGGCTTGTATATCAGTAGTTTTTAAATCCCCTCCAAGTGATTCCAATTTGCAGCCAAGATTAAGAACCACTGATGGAGAATCAAATAACTTGGCTCCGCGTCTCTCTCCACTCCAGCCTCAGCTCAGTGACTTTCTAAGACAACAGAGAAAAGGCATGTATTACCAATCCTCACAGCTGCTGCATTGGTGTGATCAAATGGCACAAGGTCTCAGGTCAAAGATTCTCCACCAGGGAAGTATGACTCTGTCACACACAGTCCCAGGTGCAGATTAGAATAGTCTAGAAGGTGTTTTCAAAACTGCAAAGGAACCCTGGGGATTGTGCACCTTGATCAGCCAGTACAGTTTGATATCCAGGAGAGCCTCGTTGTCAGTAGCCTGGGTTCTCCCCTTTGGGAGTGCTGGGGGCGGCAAGGCGGGCAGTTGGGTGGCTACCCACATCTACCTGTGTCTGTTCCTCTTGCCCAGGTCTTCCTCCTCAGGAACAGGGTCAATGTCAGGCAGAGGGATGATGTAGCCACTGTCTGCGCTCAGTCTCTGCTCATCCAGGCCACCTTCCCAGTCCTTCAGCTTGTCTTCCTCATTTTTGTAGGTGACACCAATGTATGCGTTGTCCGAGTCCACACGCATGCGTGCCACAGCGGGATGGTCACTCTTCAGGAAGTCCAGGTGAATTTTTTCATAACTCTATGAACATTCATTTCACATATTTAGTCAAATGTCATTGATAAAATTCAATGAATATAGACATTCAGAACTTATTACAGTTTAAATGTGTTTCCAGACTACCTCATCTACATGGGATTTAGATAATCAAAGGACCATCTTATGTCCTGAGGACTCGGGTCAAAGATTCTCGGCCAAGGAAGCATGACTCACCCACACACAGCCCCAGGAGTCAGGGGACATATGTGACTTATGTGAGAGGTGTTTTCAAAACTACACAGGGCCCTAGGGATTGTGCATCTTGCTCTCCAAAGATGAGGACATGGTGGAGCTCTTCTGCTGTTAGGTCTTCAGATATCCAGAGCCCCTTCCCCAAGTCGGAAGCTAGGACTCCCACCCAGCACTCCCATGGCCTTCCTCACATAGTCCCTCCCAGGTTCCTATAGAAAGGGGTGGGGACTTCTACCAGGGGCAGAACACCCAACACCTTCCTGATCCCTAAATGTTGGGGAAGTCTAACCTCCAATATCAAAAATGCCAGCTACTGAGGAGGTTGAGGCAAGAGGATGGCAAGTTTGAGGCCAGCCTGAGTAGCTCAGGAAGGCCCTGTATCAAAATAAAATAAAAACGGCTAGGGCTATAGCTCAGTCGTAGAGCACTCACGCACAAGGTCCTGGGTTCAGTCCCTATTTTAAACAATAATTTCAATCTCTTCCCAATCAAAGCATCTTTGACCAACCTAAGGTTATTTTCCTTCTGCATCCACCCTTATAGAAGTTGGATCTGGAGACTATCATGCTAAGCGAAATAAGCCAATCCCCAAAACCCAAAGTTCCAATGTTCTCTCTGATATGTGGGTGCTAACCCACGACAAGGGGAGATGGGAAGAAGTTCAATAGATTAAACAAAGGGGAATGAAGGGAAGGAGGGAGGATAAGCAGTGGAAAGACAGTGGAAAGAATCTGACATAACTTTCCTATGTTCATACATGAAGACATCACAGTGAATCTCCACATCATGTAGAACTACAAGACTGGGATCCTAATTAGAATAAGATAGGCTCCATATTTATATAAATATGTCAAAATATTCTCTACTGTCATATATAACTAAAAAGAACAAGAAAAAAATAAAAGAGGCATTTAAACAATTTTTTTTTAAAAAAAAGAATAAGTTGTAATGGGCACTCAGGTAATCCAACTCAAGTATTTAATTCACAGTTCAACACATGGGAGGTTCCAGTGCAATCTCCTAATGCTGTATCTCCTTGAGGTGGAAGAGAATTAAGCATGGAAAGTCTACACAGTGACTAATGCAAATCAAAGAAACAGAATTTATTACAAATTCGCCTGAGTTGCCCTTTTAAGGCCTCGACAGAAAATCGTTTCACTCGTTTACACCTCCTGCTTGGATCCATGGAATGACATTTGTTCTTTTGCACAATGCTTCCTTTGCCACAGAAAACCAGCTGGAGCCACAGATAACAGTCAGGTTACTTCTTCCAGTCAGCTGGTAAAAGCCAATCTACCATGGATTTAAATGCATGGATTTAAATGCAGTCAAATCAGCAATTTAATGAACGTGGTTGTCCTGACACTTCTAACTACACGGGAGTTTCAGATCCTGAAACATCTGGAGAACAAAGTGCTTACAGGTGTCATGGACATAAGATGAAAGGGGAGCCCCGCAGAAACGGGAGGTTTTCATTCATGATTGCTTACCAGGAGCTTATGGTGCGCTCCATGAAGCCGCAGACACAGGATCACACAATCTGTGTCCTCCTTTGAAAATGCTGTTTTCAATCAGTGCTAACGGTGTTGGCCTAAATGCCAGCCATTTTCTCCCCAAGGACTCATGGTCTTCACCACCCTAACAGGCCCAGACAAACCTTTTTATATTGTCCAGGCAGAAGATTCTCCACTATCTCGCTCAGGTGGTAGAAGGAGGGTCTCTTCTCTGGCTCACTGTTCCAGCACTGCACCATGATCTCATAGCTGGAGAGAGACAGGGCTCAGAGTGGGCATGGGTAGAGTAGGTGGGCACCCCCGACCCCAAAGACTACATGGCAGGGACGTGGGACCAGGGAGGGGGAAGGAGCTCACACTTCACTGGTGGCATGGTCAGGCTTGGCCATCCGGTACCCACTCTTGATCTTATTGTAGAAGGTAGAATCCACCATCATGCCAGGGTAGGGTGTGCCACCTAAGAGGCAGAGAAGATAAGAGGATGGCAAATGGTCCACATGTTGCTGGAAGGCTTGAGGTGACAGAGCACACTGGGGAACACCAGTGATCCTGGTGCCTCAATGTCCTGGTTCTCCCTGCAAAGGGACGCTGGGGATGCAGCCCAGTGGTAGAGCGCCTGCCTGGCATTCACAGACCGAGTACTACACAAAAAAGAAAAAAAACTTAACAAGGACTCTAGGTCGGTCTAGCCCAAGAACCTTGGGCAAAAATTGTGCATTTTTAGAAAGAGTATTAAAATGTTTTTCCATGCTTCAGATGATTGGAGCTACATACATAAGCAAATCAGAAAAGCCAGGGGAAATTCTGAATCATCGGGGGCAAGAAAATTATTTTGACTAGAAAAGCTCAAATAATTAAAGCAAAAGTCAAAATTGGGGTTTGGCTTGTCTAGATAATTCTCTGCTTTTCAGGGAGGCGTGAGACTCTCTCTGTTGGGCCACATGATCCATATAATGCCCCTTTCTACAGGGAGAACTAAGGTAGAAAAAGAAGACCCAGGAGGGAAGAAGCACTTGACTTTCCCCAGGAGAACACCCATATTCATTCACGAAACCCTTCCTATTTTTATAGCCAGAGCCAGGTCAAGTTCAGTTCCTCCTCTGAAGCCTTCCAAAACTATTCCAGGATTCTCTTCTACCTCTGGGCTCGCATTGCAGTGCTCAGTCAGCACCACAGTCTTTCCAAGTGTGTGAATCTTCTCTCCTTGTGTGAACCATCTGGAGGGCAGGGGTAGTGACCTATCCTTCTCGTAGGGGCCCTCACCGGGCAGCACGGGACACCTGGGTCGTTCAGTCCCTGGAGACTGACTGGCTCAATGCCTAAGAAGTCTCTCCCCTCCAGAATGACCAGGAAAGGGAGCCGTGCTCCTCTCCCTCCCCAGGCTACCTTCCCCCAGCTCCCATCGCCATCAGGTGAGGAGGAGGAAACCCTCCCTCACACCTGGTGAACCTTTCAACCCAAAGTCCCACATGAAGAAGCAGCCAGGGAATGGGTGTCATCGGGAGCACTTATGTAGGAGAAAAATCACTGTGACATCGCCCAGAGTAGAGTCCAGGGGCCAGGCACAGCCCCCAGATCCCCCTCTCAGTCTCCACTGGCCCACAACACAGTAAGGACCCATGGTGGGTTCCCACAGCATGCAGCCCAGCAGCAATCAAGTCCTAGAGCTGGGACAAACACTCTCCCTTCCAGAGCAGTTCTAGAACAATCCCAAACAAGCAGAGCTGCCAGGCCCGTACCAAGAGAAAAGATCTCCCAGAGCAGAATCCCATAAGACCAGACATCGCTCAGCGTGGTGTAGAGGTTGTCAAAGATGCTCTCGGGAGCCATCCACTTCACAGGAAGGAAGGTCTGCGGAGAAGAAGGGAGGACATTAACCCCCAGTCTCCTCAGTGATGATCTGCAGGGGTGGGGGTGGAAAGGGGTCCTCCCGGGCTGAGAATAACTGGCACTAATGATGTCGCCTTGCAGGGTTTTGTGTGTACTGTTTACTGCAGCACTCAAGGGACCTGCTACCCCGTGGGTTCTTAAGCCATATTTGGCGACTAATGGTCAATGTTGCTTCCCACCTCTTCCAAAGGAATAATGTCCAAAAACATTTAATCCTGAATTGTTGCCCATAAAGTGTGAACCCTGAACAGACCTGTCCCCTCCTGGCAGGGATTCCTAGGAACAAAACTAAGATCCAGCCATCTGTGAGCTGATTATAGCTTCTGAACATTAATAAATGTGAGGTCATTTTCAAAGAATCACACACTGAGATGTATTTGATAGCCTCTGTTGTGAAACTGGATCCAAACTTCAGGGAAAATACTAAACTGAGGTAGATACATAAAGTAACCATGTTAGCATCCTTCCAGAGACTTACAACCTCACATGAACAGGTGAGAGCTTGGCTCTACCAATACCAAAGTTTAGTAGAGTGTTCAAGGTGCCTAGGAAAAGCCACAGCCATAGGTCATGACTCATGGCCACATGAGTCCCTGCGGCACACAGAGCAGAGGCACAGGACAGAGTCTCTAGTTGGATGAGACAACCCCTGTGAGCTGTCTCACAGCCAGTGCAGTGGGGTGATGTGGAACTGCACCTTTGGGTGGCAGGTGTGTTCTAAACTGCTTCATCTGCTTTCAGGTGAAAGGGATGGAGAGAATAGTTTGAGCAGACGATTCAATGACTTTTAAGGAAACTGTACCTCTAGGACATATTAACTCAAATGATCTTAACATTTTGGGGGTCACAGGTGCCCCTTTTGAAAATCTGATAAAAGCTGAAACACTGTCTCTGCAAAGCCTTGCCTGTATCTGCACACACGCACGCACGCAGTTTGCTGATCAACGGCTAACACTTCCTGTTTGTGTCCATATTCCAGGCACTGCCTTAAGCTCTTTACATGAATTTCCCCATTTAACTCCCTACAGCGGCTCAGGAGAAGGCACTACTACTGCCTCCATTCCACGGACAGAAACTAAGGCATAGAATGGGCAAGGAACTTGCCCAAATCTCAGCCCTCCTACAAGGTGGTGCAGATACTCCTGCTCAGGCCTGAGCTTTAGTGAACTCCCGAATCCCATTCATGAATCTCCTTATTAAAAAGATACAGGCTCCCAGTGGCAAGAAGTAGCAGCTGACTTCAGAGAAGAAAGGGAAGGAGGGGAGCAGGCCAAGTGAGGACAGGGATACATACACTGCCTTTCGACACGTAGTTGGAATCGTGCATGATGTCCCTGGCCAGGCCAAAGTCACAGATCTTCACAATCTTCCCTTGTGCTAGGAGGACATTGCGAGCAGCCAGATCCCGGTGGACACACTGGGTGGAAAGGCAAGAACACTCAGGGTCAGTCCATCTGTGGTTAAACAGCAGCTCTCCCGCCAGACTGGCTGCTCCATGGTGGCACTTGAAGCTGAGGATGTGCACCTAAGGAAGTCTGTCCTGGCATGGTGGGCTTGCCCTTAACCAAACCCCTTTAAGACACAGAAAACTCTGGAGAAAAACAGGCAGCCAATGTTGCTAGGACCCAGGTCCTCCCTAGGGGGAGAGGAGGAGAGGGGTAAAGGAGAAGCAGCTACTGTCACCGGCCTCTCCCAGGTCTTCCTGCCGAATGCTTCCCCCTCCCCTCACTCTGAAATCTGCAGCCAGGTCTAAAGACATCACCGTTCCTTGAACCTACATTTTTGGAAGCCAAAAACTCCATTCCTCGGGCAACTTGATAGGTGAAGCTCAACAAATCCAACAAAGTAAGGCCTTCTGAGTTGTCATCTGAAAGGAGGTTTTTGACTTCTGAGTCTGCAGAACAGGAAGGAGAGCAGGACAGCATGAGAGCTCACCCACCACTAGGACTCCCTCCCATGAGGCTGGTCTGCTTGTCAGACTACAGAGGCTTGTCCAAAGAACACATCCAAAGCTATTTTCCTATGCAGTTTCTAGACCTCCCAGGTGGGTATCTAAGTGTGCAAAGGAGGATGGGGCAAAGCTCAGGGCAAGAGCACTTGCCTCACATGCGTGAGACGCTGGATTCAATCCCCAGCAGTGCAAATAAATAAAAAAATGAAAAGGTTCTTTCTTTAAAAATAAATTTGTACAAGCTGAGCATTCATTCCTATCCTCCCAATGCTCCAAAATCCAAAAGTTATTAAGTACTGACATGGCACAAGTAGAAAATTCCACACTTGACCCCATGTAATGGGTCACAGTTGAAATGCAAGTACACTGAAGAGATTGTGTAAAGTTACCCTCAGGCTCTGTGTAGAGGTATAGATGAAACATAAATGAGTTTGTGTCTAGACTAGAGTCCCATCCCCAAGATATTTCATTGCATATATTCAAAGTTCCAAAACCTGAAAAAAATCCAAAATTCAAAACACCTTTGGTCCCAAGTATTTCAGTTAAAGAGAGAGTCAACCTAAATACAGAAAGACATCCCTGATTTATATATAAGTATGTAAGAACACAGGGCCATGAGTACCAATCAAAACTCTTCTCCCTAATGGGTTCTCACATGTAGTTTTGTATTGTTGTTGGGTTTTGGTTTTTTGTTTTTCTGAAGTACTGGAAATCGAACCAAGGGACTCACAAATCATAGGCAAGTAGTCTACCACTGAGCTACATCCCCAGCCCTTTTCATTTTTTATTTTGAGATGGGACCAAGTTCCTGAGGCTGGCCTCAAATTTGCAATTCCCCAGCCTCAACCTCAGGATTATTTGGAATGACAGGCCTGTATCACCATGCCCAGCACATAACGATTTTGTTTACCTCCCAGATTTCTCTTTTCCAACCTTAGTTAGTAATCACACCAGCCATCTTTAAATGCACACATACACACTGAAATTTTCTGTGACAAATATACATGAGGACAAGGAGAAAAAAATAATTTCTAAGAATTGCTTTATTTTATTTTTCAAACTACCTTCCTAGTCTTTGGCTTATAAGTCATCGATTAAATCAACTGCCAATCAGACAAGGAGACAAGCTTAAAGATCAGGGTCAATGGAGACCAGGGAAGGTGGGGAGTACAGGAGGCTACTTTCTAAGCCACTCCATGGCTGAGACCAAGGTAGTGGATATATGGCTTCTCAGTGAAGTGGATGGAAGAGTTACTTCACTGGAACTGAATACTGGACACTCAGAGACGATGGAGACTCAGAAGGAGACTCAGAAGGTTTGGATACAATAAAGAGAAAGCCCGCAACCACCAAGGGTGGCTACCAGAGCCCACCCACCCCTGGGGAAAGCAGGAAGCTGCATTTCAGGCATGGCTTAGTGCACAGAAATCTGAGATCAAAACACTGGCTAGTCCATAGGCTGCCTGCATAGTCCACTGGTGCATGAAAGACACATCGTGTTTCCCAACTGTCCACAGAGAGCTGAGGCAAGAGCCATTCTGAAGCAACTATGGGAACCAGGATTCAGGAAATCTGAGCTGGGTCTAGTTCTTGGTCCAGCTGACACCTGCCACATCACCTAAACTGTGCCTAACAAATCAAGAGGAAAGCAGGTACAGAGTGTATGGTCAGGGAGCCTGGGGAGAGCCTGGCTGCCCACCCCGCCACTTTTCAGTCTGGCAGCTCAGAGCAGGGCAGGAATTTGAACCAGTGTGTGTGTGACTGTGCTGGGGAGTGAGCCCAGGAAGCCAGGAAAGGCAGGATCCACAGTCAGCTAAAAGGGCAAAGGATTGGCTCCTCCCCCTCATGAGTGGAACCCTGGGGAGTCTCCTGGGTGCAGTCTCCCAGGTAGATGGCCCCAGAAGTGAGAGATTTTAATATCTCCCAACTAGTTGCCACTCAACAAAGCACCTGGGGCCTGCCTAGACCTAAGCCCCACCTTCAGGAACTCCACCTACGGGAACTCCTTTCACGGAACCCTGCAGTGACTCCACCCTGGGAGTGGAGCTGACAGTACAGGTGCAATGCAATTCCCATGAAAATTCCAATGACGTTCTTCATAGGAATAGAAAAAGCAGTCATGAAATTCATTTTGAAAAATAAGAGGCCTAGAAGGGCCAAAGCACTCCTTAGTAAGAAAAGTGAACCAGGAGGCATCACAATACCAGGCATTAAATTATGCTACAGAGCTTTAGTAACAAAAACAGCATGGTATTGGTACCAAAAAGGCAAGAAGACCAATGGAATAGAAGACACAGAGACAAATCCATATAAATACAGTTATCTCATACTAGATAAAGACACCAAAAACATACATTGGAGAAAAGATAGCTTCTTCAGCAAATGGTGCCAAGAAAACTGAAATCCATATGTAGTAGAATAAAATTTAACACCTATCTCTCACCCTGAACAATAATCAACTTAAAGTGGAATTAGATCAGAAACCCTGCACCTTCTAGGAATTAGATCAGAAACCCTGCACCTACTAGAAGAAAACGTAAGCCCAACACTCCAACATGTCAGCTCAGGAACTGACTTCCTTAACAAGACTCCTAAAGAGCAAGAAGTAAAATCAAAAATCTACAAATGGGATGGCATCAAACTAAAAAGTCTCTGGAGAGCAAAGGAAATAATCAAGAATGTGAAAAGACAGCCCACAGAATGAGAGAAAATCTTTGCCACCTTTACCTCAGATAGAGCATTAATCTCCAGGATATACAAATAACTCAAAAAACTTAACATCAAAAAAAAAACCTAATAACCCAATCAATAAATGGGCAAAGGTGCCAAGTGCCAAAGTCTCGGCTGGGCACAAGATCAGGAAGCACCCACACTTTGTAGGTTCAAACAGCAATTCTTTATTCCCGCTCTCACACCGCCTCCACACAGGTCCAGGGGCAATCGCGTTCTGCCGTCTGCCCGCACAATTCGCCTACTCCAAGAGGCTATCTCCAAATCCCATTTTAATCTCACGAGAACTCAACGGGAACAAGCAGCAGGAACACCCTAATCCCAGCAATAATCTTCAACCGCCAACTTCCCTAAAACCCATTATCTTAAACTGGCAACGCCTTAAACTCAAGGAGCCGGTTACTTCCTCAAACCTGATCAGCTCTAAACCCGGATCCACCTTGGTCCTTGAGCAAGGTCACCTTATTAAAGCATGCATGCAATGTCCCATCGAATGTCCTCTAAGCAGCATGGGGTACGCTTGGCAAGGAAATTTCGATGCGTCATTCCTACTTGGTAATGGCCCTCAGCACAAAGGGACTAAATAGACACTTCTCAAAAGAAGAAGAAATATGAACGGTCAACAAATATATGAAAAAAATGTTCAATATCTCTAGCAATTAGAGAAATGCAAATTAAAACTACACTGAGATTTCATCTCACTCTAGCCAGAATGGCAATTATCAAAAATACAAGTAACAATAAATGTTGATGAGGATGTTGGAAAAAAGGTACACTCATAACATTTTGGTGGAACTATAAATTAGTGTAACCACTCTGGAAAGCAGTACGGAGATTCCTCAGAAAACTTGGAATGGAACCACCATTTGACCCAGTTATCCCACTCCTTGGTATATATTCAAAGGATCTAAAATCAGCATTCTATAGTGACATAGCCACATCAATGTTTATTGCAGCTCAATTCACAATAGCTAAGCTATGGAACCAATCTAGGGGCCCTTCAACAGATAAATAGATAAAGAAAATGCAGTATATATACACAATGGTGTATTACTTGGCCATAAATAAGAATGACTTTATGACATTTGCCAGTAAACGGATGGATCTAAAGGGTATTGCTAAGTGAAAAAAGCCAATCCCCCAAAACCAAAGGCTGAATGTTCTAAGAGAGAACATTCTTAGTCTAATATTGGGCAAATTATATTGTTATATTGTATGCATATACGGATATATAAAATAATCCCATCAATATGTACAACCATAATGCACTAATAAAAAAAAATTATGGGAAAAAACCAGGGCCAGTGACTTTGCATTGACTTCCCTTTGATGGTAACTTTCCCCAGTTCATCCCATCTGGAAGGGTCCCAGAGTTTTCGAGGAAGAAGGCCATCTAGGCCAGTAGTTCTCAGTCCTGAGGATTTTCAGGCAAAGTGAAGAATAGCTTCAGCCATTCACATTTTTCTAGGCAGCTACAGGAAAGCCAGAAAATTGTAATGTGCTTGCCAACAGGGCCTGGGCCTCAGCGTGACTCAGGTCCCCCAATGTCTGGTGCCAAGTCTACCAGCTCAGCCTGGGAAGCGATGTAAACTATTTTTAAAAATATGGGAGAGGAGAGGAAGCACTGGTTCCGATAACCCTCATTGGCTAATCTTTGTAAAGTGCTTGGAAGTTCACCCATTTGGCAACGTGAAGTGGATGGAACCGAGAACTGCAGAAATGGAAAATATCATTGTGTACTGAACTTTGTGAAACAAGCACATTCTATTTTTAATGGATTGTACCTTTTGCTTAAGAACCTTGAAAATATTCCGAGCACATCAGTGATTTTCCAAACAATTTCATGGCAGCTCAACACTTTGCATCAACCAATGCGAGGGCTCAGGCCCCAAAGACAACAACATCACAGAAAAAGCCAAGGTCAGACCTACCTACAACTATCCTACTTCAAATCTGTGATTTAGACCAGAGCCCCAGAGGGGCCACCCCCGAGCAGATAGGAGGTGGTCCATCTGGTATAGCATCAGCTGGGCACCCTGGGGTTAATAAATCCATCCAATCCTCCATTTACACCTCTGTTTTGAAAACAGATCTGCCTTCAGACAACAGTCAATAGAAACACTTGTCAGAAAATACATGTCCAATTGTCTACTCTCCAATTTTATCTCAAATTGGATCTTAGGAAAGCTAAAATTAAGGGTTATTGAACTCATAGATATAAGTCTTATAAAACTTAAGAAAAAGCCACTAGGAAGAAAGAACAAAAGCTTCCTAACTTGCAGTTTGTCAAGTAAGGGCACTGAAAAAAATCAATTATCAAAGGTAGCAATGTAGTTCAGGGGTGAAGCATCTGCTGAGCATACATAAGGCCCTGGGTTCAATCATCACCAAAACAAAACAAAACAATCAATTCTCACTGTTTTCATTTAAGGAAAAAAAAAAGGAGGTTGGAGCTATAGCTCAGTAGTAGAGTAACTGGCTAGCATAAATGAGGCTCTGGGTTTGATCCCCAGTACTGCAAAAATTAATAAATCTATTGAGAACAATTTTTTTTTCCAATTAAAAAGACATGTTAAGAACAAAAAAGAAAGGTTATCATATCAGAATAAATGACTCTATAAAGCAATCGCATTTGAAGTTTGGGAAATTCATCGCAAGAAATCTGTCTTTATCCTTTTTAATTCACAGGCCACAACCTATAATAACCTGTCACAGACCCAGCTGAGCAGACCTGCATTCAGGGACCACGTGGCCTGACAGGTCTACTTATCATTCCTGTTCACCCACCTCTGAGTATTTTAAGTATCATATTAAAGCAGAGTGATAAAGATGCTCTTACCTAACATAGATTTCTTCTTATACGAGGCCGGGCGATCGTACAGTGATCTCTGGATGTCCGAATACTTGGAGACCTCTTTTCTTTCCAACATGGGGACGTACTGTGTAGTGTCGGCTTGCTTCATGTCCATGTAATCACCATTGTTCTCAAAAGATAGAATCACGTAACTGTAAATACAGAAAAGACATCTCACCCAGGTGCCCTTCTGGAGTGGCCACTCAGATGCTTCAGCAGATGATGATGTGGGTCCCTGCCCTGTGGCCGGTACTGAGGGAGGCAGAGCAAAAGCAAAACCAAAGAGTACCCTTCACATGGGGCGGCCCAGGCAGGGAGAAGGGCCTGAGAAGATGACTCCAAGAATCCCACAAACACACAGGGCACCTGGGACCCAGGCGTGGGGACAGCAGGAAGGTTCCAGTGGCATGAAAGGAAAATGACTCCTTCTAGCATGAAGGAGGCACTTTTCATAAGCTGTAGAATGACCACCATTTGTGATGGGAAAGACCAGGGGATTATTCAGGTTCTGCTAACTCTGGCTGACACGGTTCTTACTGTCTTTTCACTTATTTATTTGTTTTCAGTGCCACTCCTCTACACGTCTTCAGTGGGAACACAGACACCCTGAAATGACATCTACAACAGGGGGCTATGTCCCCAAAGATTTATAAAATGTTATAAGTCTATGACACTTAAAATTTGAGGAAAAAAAAAATCATGACATTAAGGCCCATCATTACTCTTTCTCTGTTTTTCAGCCTATAAACCATGAACATGAGATTTGTGGCCCTGTGGCTTGAGGAGACAACTCTTGCTACTTGATAAATTCGCACCCACTTAGTATCCATTAAGTAAATGTGTATAAAGCCAACTCATTGCACTTTCTGATCTTACGGATCTTCATAGCCTTCGAGATCTTTACAGTCACTTGGCAGATTTCTGAAGTGGAGACCACCATCACTGGCTTGATCCACAGGCCCAGGTTCAGCAAGGACCACCAGCTGGAGCTTGGAGATCCTCAGACAGATTCTCACAAGGTATATAAACTCAGGCGTCCATGGCCTGTGCTGCATTTCATATATCCAGAGTGGATCACACATAAACAGGAGAATGGCTTCCAGAAGGGTTCCAACTCTCACTCCCCTTAATTCCTATCAGCAAGGCCTTCCTGCTTGATGTCCCAGGCCTTCCTGCATGATATTCCAGTCCAAAGTGCCTACAGACACAGGGTATCCATGGGCACTGTCAGGGACCACTGGGCAGGCTAGCTTGTCTCCAAGTCTTGCTACTTTGGGCCCTGACCCTGCAGACATGGATTCTGTCAGAACACGGGTTCTCTCCATCTGTGAGGCTTATAGGACAATGACACAGCCATGTCTCTGTACACTCACCTGCGTGTGCTCTCATCAGCAGGGTTCAATCCAAAGATGTCCAGCTCTTTCTTTGGCTTCTCTGGGTGGCGGCTCAGGAAGCTATCCCTATTCTTATGCAAATAGTTGACCAGATCCCCATAGAAACAGTACTCAGTGATGATGTAGATGGGGCCTGTGGGGACCAAAACCAGAATGAAAACCCAAGGACAGGGGAGCCATGAATTGCTGTGTTTGGACCATCAAGAGATACGGCTCAAAAACAGTGACTCCCATCAGCTCAGTGGAGCGAGAGGACTCCAAGGAAAAGATTTATATTCACTGGTGTGGCTGGGGTGTGAGGGGGGATTTGAGTCTAGTCTGATGGCTTTTCACAACCACAGGTGTTCAGAGCACACCCTGACTCCCAGGAAGGTCGGTGAGCCTACCTGACTTAGTACAGGCTCCCAGCAAGTTGACGATGTTTAAATGTGGCCCCAGGTGAGTCATTATCTTCAGCTCAGACATGAGAGCTTGTTTTTCACTGGACCTGGCAGTCGCTGTTGAAGAAATAAATCATGAGTCAGTTCAACTCAACTACCTAGCTCTCATTTCCAGAAAACCCCGAGAATGTGGTTGCTCCTGTGATTCAACATTATTACATTTACCAAGTGTACAAAAGAGAAGCAGAGGGCCCATGGAGTCTGGACTCGGGTGACAGTCTCTAGTCTTTAGGATAGAAAGAAGTAACTAGAAATAACTCCTCGTTTTCCAACATACAAGTGACAAGAACAACCAAAACAGAATGAACTGACAAACTTTTAAACACACATAAAATCTAGAGTCAAAGAACCAGAATCTAGTCCTAAGTTTGCTATGACGGCTGTATTTCAATTTGAGACCCGATTTTGATCAGTTCACTTAATCTCTTCGTATTCAAATCCTCCCAACACTTACGTTTGAGCATCTTCACTGCTACTTTCATAACAGGCTGGGACCGGCTTAATCCATAGGCTGTTCCTTCAACCACTTTCCCAAATGCACCAGATCCCAAGATGCGACCTGTGGACAAGAAGAACCATCAACACACCGGGCTCCTCTGCGGGGTGAACAGCTGGGTGGGTGCTTTCCCATTATGAGTAAGCTTAATTACTCCTCCAAGTCATCCTGTCAAAAAAAGAATGGAGCCCACAGGGGAGGAAATTAGAGTAATTGCTTTTGTCAAATAACATTTGCAGCGGAAAGGAAAACACAGACGGGGAGAGAGGAGGATGCAGCCCTCCCTGGTGTGAACTCTCTGGCTAGCAGCTGGGTGCTGGCCAAGCCCTGGGCTCCTTTGCTTTTGCCTCCCAGCTCCTGCCCATACCCCCTGGCTCAACACCCTTCTGTTTTACACACACAAACAGAGGCATCCTTTGCATCAATAAATCCTTAACCACTGGAAATACTTGAGTATTCAAAATACCACTAATTCCAAGGAGTAGACAAGTAAAAACTGAGCTGGGCCCACTGCGGCCCATTGTCAGCAAGGCCACAGAGGCTCAGCATGCCCTGAGCCCAGTCATTGCCTCATGTCAGGAGAGACAAAGAGAAACTGAGACTATTGTCCCATCCTTGAAGAGCTCACAGTCCAGAGAGAGGCTTCCAGATAATCAGCCTGACTGTGGACAGCCCAGCCAGGGTAGATTCTGCTCATGAAAGACACCAGGAGAGCTTACCCTGCCCCTATCCGCAGGGCTGCATGGCTGGCAATTCCTGGAAAGGTACTGCTTCACCAGTAACTTGACAGGGCCCAGGAACAGGGAGACCAAGCAGTGCCCCTTGGCATAGCAGGGATTTTACCCTTTCCCCTGAATTTTATTACTTTTTAATTTCCCTAAGCTCCTCATCCTTTTTGGGGAAACAGTGGTGAAAATATAATAAAGAAAGCTTAAGGAAAAGCATTTGAAATTGGGAGCCGGGAGGATACCTCGTTTGATTTCAGTTTAAGTAACTCTCTAAGATCTAAACTCTGCCATATTTTGGAATGAGACAGGTAGATGATTAAAACCTGTATTTAGTTATATTATTCACTGTGACACAACCTCTAGCTCTAACTTTGCCTTTGTCCTGTTTTCATTCATTCAGAATATGATTTTAAAAAATGAAAAATAAATAAAACTCCCTTGGACTTCATGTATTTGATCTCAGCCCAAGATTGAAATATTTGAAATCTGTGACAAGTTGGCTTGGGTATTGTTATATGTTTTCCTTTAAGATGTACCCATATTTTAATATCTTATATTTTATATATATATAAGCTTCTTATGCACCCTCAGAATGTACTGAATCAAAACCTACTTTGTGACTGTCCGCATACATTTCTCATTTACTGTTTTTGAGTTGTAGAAATTCACTTCATTTTCGATTGGTGTCATTTCCAAAGCAAAGCCATGTTGGTGGGTATCTTTGCTAGGCCTCCTTATATTCCTTTCTCCCTTTGTAAAATTTTCTTTAGCCATAATTTGTTATGGTATTAGATTTTTAAAATTCATTGCAATGATAGTTGCTTCTTCTCCCCCATGCCTACCCTGCAGTGCTAGGGATTGAACCCACATCTTCATGCATGCTAGGCCAGGGCTCTACCACTGAGCTACATCCTCAGCCTCAATTAACTCTTTTTCAAGATGGAAATATATTTCTGCAAGTGAATTTCTATTGCATAGTTCTTACTAAGCAAAGCTCATGTCCCTTACAGGGATTTAAATAGTGATGTTGCGTACAAGTGAGAATAGTGTCTTGGGAGGTCACAGTCAGAGGGACTTACCAAGCACTAGTCCATCTCTTGGAAATTCCCATCTCGAGTCATAAGGTAGCTGCATCGGGTCCACATAAATATATTCATGTCCATCGGGGCTGATTGATTCAATGACCCTCCAGCGAATTTCATACCTTGGTTTCTAGAAAGGACCAGGACAGGTAACTGATGAATTACCAAGGTCCCAAGGCACCAGAGCACCCACTGCAGCAGTAAGCTGCAGTAGGATTTAACCACATCCATCCACCTGTAATCACTGAGCCCCTTCGCTGTGCCAGGCATTGAACTAAGCTGTTGTTCTCACAGGCTTCAAAGATTTTAGTGCTTTGGGAAAATACCTACCTGTTTCCAAATGACAACCAGGACAATAAGTGAGATGATCACAATCACCAACAGCACCAGGACTGCGGCTGCCACCGTAAGCTCAGAACGCAGGGCTGGAGGATCAGAAAGAGACAGGATGGAGAATTTCCTTGAAGATAGGCCAAAGGCAGGAAGGTGTTGGTTACACCTGGCCAGGAATTTTTCACTGCCAGTAGGGAAGAATGGGGGCTGCCTGCCACATTTTAGGGATGGGCAATACCATCTCTCAAACATTTGCACCCATGAAACTACACCAAAATTCAATCAGGGGAACTCAGCACTTTCTCCAAAGATGCTCTTAGCATAACCTTTCAGACAGAATCGGAAAGGGAACAGTAAAGACTGAAAAATGAGATTGAGTGCTACTTCATGTACAAAAGTCTGTATTTCATAAGCTTTTTAAATAAAGTTTACTTTGAAAAGTAGCATTTGTTTCTATTGCTTGTGACTTCATGGTTTTTTGTTTGTTTATTTGTTTGTTTTAAGAATTCAACCTGTCTCAACTACCGTAAGGAGCAATGAGATGGAAGACTCTTCTTCCTCCTTCTCCATCCCACATGCAAATGTTCAGATGTTCAGCAACTCAGAGACTGAGTAGCTATACTATTAGACAAGTAAAATGTCCAGTGTCCTTTGCAAGATGCAGCTTGGTATATGAATTTGAAGAAAGAAAAGGCTAGATTCAGCTGCATTCAAAGCTGAATTTCTGCCTGGGGACCTGAATTCTGATACCACCCTATGTGGGATTCCACATGCTTCCTGAGAAAGATGAGGCCCAGCTGGTGAGCTGGAGTTCCCCTGACTATTGAGCAACTCACTGGGAGCCACCAGCTTCAGCTCTCGGTTCCCAGAACCAAGGAGATTCTTAGCCAGGCATCGAACTGCAATGGTCTCCTCTACTTTGGCAAATGTCACTCGGCCCTCCACGGTACTCTTGCCTCGAGGGTAGATCTCCGTGATGATATTTGAGACATTGTTGGCTAAGACTGTCCATGACGTTTCATTATTACATCTACAGAGAAAAAGCACATAAATATAGGGCTGGTTATTGGCAGTCAGGGAGAAGAGTGGGTTGGTGAATTTGTTATGTTGCTGACCTTGTCTATGTTTGCAGGTGCCTATGGGATAACTTTCTTGATTTTTGTGCATATTAACAGTAAAACTCACTTTCATACTCAAAAGGAAATAACCTGCATGAGAATAACTGAGAGTTTACTGTGAAGGAGGCAGAGACAAACAAATTCTATAAAATGTAACTACTGATCCCAAACCTTGACCCTACGAGTGAACTGAGCAGTTCAACATCAAGCATCTTTAATGATGCCAATATCCCACCCCTTCCAAAAGGCCTGGGGTAGGCCCTTCTCAACATCCACACTGAAAACAACTCTGAAGGTGTCACAAGGGTTATAACTCATCCTTCACATTGAGTTATAAGACCCAGATTCCAGCCCCAGTCAGCATGCAAGTCATCCTTAAGTTCTAGAAGGGAGGACTAGGAGTCTCAGTCTTTAGGAAGAAGCAATCAAGGCCTCAGAACACAGCCAGTGCCCATGACTCCACATGCCCACCTAAGAAGGCAGAGAAATGAGAGACGAATGAGGAAATGGTGAGTTAACTCCCACCCAACAGCAGGTGGTGAGCGAGGGAGTGAGCCATCACATGGGTGCCATTTTCATTTATGTACAAACGCCAGTCTAGCCACCCAAAGTTTGCCAAATATCAAGAACACAAATAATAACACATGCTGGCAAGGATGTAGAGGGAAAGAGACACTTATGCATGTTGGTGGGATTATGAATTACTAGAACCACTATGGAAATCAGTATGGAGTTTCCTCAATAGGCTAGGAATGGAATCACCATATGACCCAGCTATCCCACTCTACGGTATTTATCCTAAAGGATTAAAGTCAGCATTATAGCAATACATGCATACTCATGTTTATAGAAGCAAAATTCACAATAGCCAAGTTATGGAACCAGTCCAGGTAGCCATCAGCAGGTGAATGGATAAAGAAAATATTGTGTGGATACATGATGAGGTTTTATTCAGCAATAAGAAAGAATGAAATTATGTCATTTGCAGGAAAGTAGAGGGAACTGGAAAACATCATGCTAAGGGATATAACCCAGATACACAAGGGTCTTGTGTTTTATATATGGAAACTAAAGATAAAATTGGGAGAGAATCTCATGAAAATAGAAGGGAGACAAGTAGAGTAGAGGATGGGAATTAGAGGTAGGAAGGAAGGAAGGGAAAAAAGAAGATACAGGGATATGAATAAGACCAAATTATGCTATGTGCAGATATGAATGTATCATAGTGATATCTGGTATTATATATAATTATAATTCACCAATTAAAAAATAAGTTTGCCAGAAAATAAATATGAAGTAAAAATATGGGCCAGAGTAGTAAAGATCCTCATAGGAGAGTGGTTCTTAAAATTCACTATTTTTCACATTAGAGACTCAGAGAGGATCCAATGAAAGCCACGGACCTTACAGCTTCTTCTTACAGCTCTTCATGAACACATGCACACGACACACACACACACACACACACACCAGGAAGCTGGGGGCCATGTTCAAAATCCTAACATGAGCCTTATGTCAAATAAGAACCACTAGTGCAAAAAGCGCCAACCAGAGAAGTAATATGATCACCAAGGAATAAGGAACGTCCAGTTTCCATACTTTTTAATATCCTTGCAGATCATCCACTCAATGTCGGGAAGAGGTGTGCCCTCAGCCGTGCACCTCACAGTCTGTCCTCCGCTGGAGCCATGATGGTCGTCGACCAAATCCAGAATAGAGGATGGAACTGCAAGAGGCGGAAAGAAGTCAGATGCAAACACCAGAACTCGTGGGGAATCCAAAGCGGCAGGTGACTTCAGAAGTCAACCACCTTGCACTGGAACCCTGCTAGAGGGGCTGAATCCACTTGCTGGGGTAACACTCCACTGTGACAGCCCCTGCTGGGTGAAGCGTTTCAGTTTCAGTGCCTTGGGGTTTGTGCCTGTGGTGTGTAAAATCTGGAGTGAGGACTGGAAAGTGCCTGTAGTCATTTGGCTTGAAAGGCAAGGGGCTCTTCAAATTATCTGAGAGCTGGGGTTTGACTAATAGATTCAGTGAAAATATAATCAAAAGCAGTTATCTACCCAACTACATCTGCAGGATTTTGTTAGGTAATAAAGGTTCTTTTTTAAAAAAAAAGAATCTGTGGGGCTGGGGTTGTGACTCAGAGGTAGAACACTTGCCCAGCATGAATGAGGCACTGGGTTCCATCCTCAGCACTACATAAAAAATAAAATAAAGATATTGTGTCCACCTATAACTAAAAGATAAAAAAAAAAAATTTTTTTTTTTAAATCTGTGGTCAGCCGGACACGGTGGCACACGCCTATAATCCCAGCAGCTCAGGAAGTTGAAGTAGGAGGATGGCGAGTTCAAAGCCAGCCTCAGCAAAATTGAGGTGCTAAGCAGCTCAGTGAGACCCTGTCTCTAAATAAAATACAAAATAGGGATGAGAATGAGGCTCAGTGGTCGAGTGCCCCTGAGTTCAATCCCCAATACCCACTCCCTCAAAAAAAGAATCTGTGGTCAAGTTAGTGATAGGCTAAGACCTGTATCAGAGACTTACTGTAAGGATCAAAACAGCCCACCTCAAATGGTACCTGGCACATGGAGGAACTTAGTAAACAGGAGTTGAACCTGAATGTAACAGACTCGGATACTCCTCTCTCTTCAGCAGGGACCACTGTCCCATGTCTACAGGGGAGTTACGCAGACCCCTCCAGAGCACCTGCAGGTCATCTGGACCAAAAAGCATCACTGTACCCATCTCAGAACTAGACAGATGCTAAGAAAGCTGCAAAGCCTAGGAATTCCCAGAATGCTCCAGAGCAACCCAGCATGCCTCAGAATTACAGGTCAAGTGACCCTTGTCAGAAATGCTTAGGTCCAGAAGTGTTTCAGATTTCAGATTTTTTTCAGATTTTGGAATAGCTGTATATACATAATGAAAAATCTTGGGGATGGGACCCAGGTCTAAACATGAAATCCATTTATGCTTCATGAACACATAGGGATGTGCTTGTGTTTTGACCGTGACCTGTTGTGACTGTCACAAAAGGTCAGGTGTGGGATTTTCCACTGTGGCGTCATGTCAATACTGAGAAAGTTTTCAGATTTTGGAGCATTTCCAATTTGGGGATTAGTTTGCCGACTTTATTGGGACCACGGATTATTTCTATAGTACTAGTACCTAAATTCATAAGTACAACAAAGCTATCCCTGACATGTGACATCTCCGGGCCCTGCTTCTCCAGTAAAGGGTTTCTTCTCTTTCTGCCAAGCTGTCTTTGGGAGCGCCATTCACCAAGCTATACCTTTATACTGCTTGTACATACCTTGAGTTAATAGTTCAAAAGTATAGCTCTTCACATCATCTTCATTTTGAACTATTATAGTATAATGGCCACTATCTTCTTCCTTAGCACGGATCAGCTTTAATTTGCTTCGATACCTAAAAAAAAAAAAAAACAATAACTTTGTTTCAATAAGCAATAGCTAAATAAACTCCAACTATTTAAAGAATGACAGTCTTCCAAGGTTCATTTTATTTTTGTCAAAAAGTAAAACACATTTTTTTCTTATCTGTTATCATCTCTTTCCTGGAATTCTCAACAGTTTCCAAACATCAAATATCTGAATAATAGACACAATTCTTTTTTTAATATTTATTTTTTAGTTTTAGGTGGACACAATATCTTTTATTTTTCTTTTTTTATGTGGTGCTGAGGATGGAACCCAGTGTCTCATGCATGCCACATCCCAAGCCCTAGACACAATTCTTAACAACAGAAAACCAGACATTTTGAGATAAGCAAAGGCCATCTCCAAGAGCTATTAGTTCTGGAAGGGTCTCCCTTTTGAATGAGAATAAACTACCAACTTTTCAAAAAGAAAGCGATGGGGGAGAGGAGGAGGAGGAGAGAAGGGAAGAGAGGAGAATAGGGGAGAGGGAGGAAGGGAAAGAGGGGAAAGAAAACTCCTTGATTTTTACCTGTTTTCTTCCCCTAAATACATGTCATTTATATAGTTCAGCCAAAAAAGCAACACCATTTGAGGAAAAAAAGAGAATAGCCTCTAAGTGTGATATGAAGAGGAATACAGGACTCAGCATTGTTAACTGCCTGTATTGATTCAAGAAACTGGAAAGTTTCATGCTGAGAGCCATAGCAGGAATGATGCATGGCATTTTTGGTTGAAAGATGACACCAGCAAGTTGAGATGATAATGATTATGTTAAGATGTGCATTCAATTGGATATTAGACCCCTGCTGTCCACCTTGGCCTGCTACTTTGGAGCTCTCGCAGGGATTCCCAGAGAGTTCCCATTGGTTGGGGAAGTGCGGTAGAAGGGATTTCCGGAGGAGGGATTTCCTGTTGGTATGGTGTGTCCTGGAAGAAGGCCACGTGCATGGTGTTCGCTGGAGTTTTGGAAATAAAGTTTGTTCCTGCTTGAGTGGCTCGTGATTTTGTTACCGCTGTTGACCAGTGACGAGTTCTTGCTTCCCCAATGTTGAAGAATAACACCAAAGAAGCACGCCGAGGCAAGGTCAGAGTAGAAATTAGAAGTTTATTAAAGGACAGCAGAAAAGACTTCTCCCGGAGGAAGAAGGGGACCCAAGAGGTGGAATCCGTGGAAGTGCGGTTGTTTCCTCTTTTTATAGTTTTGGTGATGGAATGTAGGTTGGAGGGCCTGAAGGGTGGGACATAGGTGGGCCAAAAGGGCAGGAAGGACTTTTGGGATGGGCTTATCACTTCTCTGGGATGGGCTATCTCCAAATCTGTTGGGGGCTATTCATTAATACTTCTTCAAGGTGGACTTTGGCCTAGGGTCTTAACATTAACATTCCATGAATTGTCCTGTGTTTTCCCTGAGTCATTCCCAGCATGGCCTCCATTTTAGATTTCACTCAATATTAGACCCGATTTACCTAAATACACTGACTACCTAATTTTAAATCTGGCTTCAATTTTGTGCCCAGCCAGACTGCAGCAGTTTCATAAGAACCTAAGGAAACCAATCACAGTGTTTCCTTAGCTGGGTATGGTGACTTCTGCCTGTAATTCCAGCACATCAGGAAGCTAAGGCAGGAGGACAAGTTTAAGGCCAGCCTCAGCAATTTAGCAAGACTCTGTCTTACAAAAACAGAAGAAGAAAATAATCTCTGGATATAGCTCAATGGTAGAGCATCCTTGGGTTCAATCCCCAATACTTAAATAGTGCTTCCCTGTGGAGAGGAGGAGGTAACTGGGCAGACGGAGACAGAAATAGGAAGAAGTTTTATACAATGCACCCTCTTCATTTGATTTGTTTATAAAGTGTGGGATTCCATTACCAAAAGAAAACAAGTTAGAAAAATATACTTCTTCATACTTTAATAAATGAACATTTCCCCAAAAGATTTCCTATGCATATTACACATGATATTTGGCTCTGTGTGTGTGTGTTTGTGTGTGTGTAAAAATATTTTCCCATTTAACTGTCCTTTATAAAACATCACAATATGCAAAAATTAGTTGCTCTTCTTCATGGTTCCTGTAACTTTTTAGCATGTTATGCTATTTTATAAAGGTGAGAAGACCTTGGCATTATTGAAATTCTCCATGCCTCAATTTCCTTGTGTACAAAATTTGGCAATTGTGCACACAGCAGTCATTCTGAGGACTTGTTAAATGAGATTCTATGTGGAAAGTACTTCCTGGGCTCCGGAGCACTGTGGGAATGCTGGAGCGACAGGACCTGTGTAAGAGCAGCCTGGGCTGAGTTTCCCTGGGCTGCGCCATATTGGATTTGCTTCAGCACTGGATTTCCTGAGAGCCCCATTAGGCACACCAGCTGCTGATGGCCAAGTGATTCTCTGTCCTTAATTGCCTACGTATGTTCAGCCAAGGAAGCTGACCCAGTGGAGTGGGTCCAGTGGTTTTAAGCTCCATGAAGCCAAACATACCATTCACCATATTCATTCCTATGCTTCCTGGCCCACAATATAAACTGGAAAATAAAATTTATGCTGAAAGATTTTTGAATCACTGTATAAGGCAGCTTTCCAGAACCACTTAGTTGGCAGGACTAACTTGTTGCTGCTGATGATTACAGCCTGTAGATCGGACCCTATTTCTCTTTGGCCTCAACAGACTCCTAGAAAGTTCCTTGTGGGAAGCTGCCCACCTCCTTGTGCACCTTCTTTTCATATCACCAAAAAAACCTTCCAGATTCATTATTCCACTTCTACTTCCATCACTGCTCTATAGAGGTCATAAAATTCCATTTTCTGTGAGGGATGCAGCCCACGTGCTTAGCATGCACAAGGCCCTGGGTTTGATCGCACAGAACTGTAGGGAGAAACGTTCCATTTTCTCAGACGTGGCTTATCAATTACATATGGAATTCAGGTTGCAAAGTAAAAAGCAGACTCTGGAGTTAAGTGAACTATTGAGAAAGGTTCTGTTTTCTTTTTTTTCTGCAGGCTTGAAATAAAGAACAGACTTTTGTCTCATGGGAATTTCCAACAAGGACATCGGACTGAATTGGCTGGCCCTTCAAGAGGCACCTTCTGACTTGTGGATTCAAATCATAACTTAAAATTTCAAGAGACCTCCAGATAGCATCTGATCCAATTCTTTGCATTAAAAAACATAAAGCATGATTAATCCTATATTATAGATGAGGAAACTGAGGTCAAGGGGTGAGCAATCTACCACTCTCCTCAAAGGCAGAGATCTCCATGTTGTACCACATGTCTCTCTCCTGACCAGATTCAGCCAGGCTGTACTTTTAATTCCTGTGGAGGCTTTGAGAGGGGCAAATGTGCCCCCAATAAGCTCTTGAGGCTTGTTTTGTATAAACTTATGTGATAATTGCCTCACAAGTGGAACCGTCCCACACAGCTACTTATGATATGGCAAAAATCAAGGAAAACATTCACTCCAAGTGCTTCCAATTTCAACATCTTTCCTCCACCCCTAGCTGGATCCAGTAACTTGTCTGACATTGGAGCAGACAAGTTACTTTAGTTCTTTCTTCTCGTTTTATCACTAAATATTCAAAAATATGCGGTTACCATATTGGAATGCTATAATTAAAGGGAGGTGATTTTGTATCTTAACTCGCACTGCCATTAGTACCAGATGGCTTTTTGGTCTGGGCCGTGGGACACGCGATGGCCTCAGTCTGTCTAGGGATACACATGTTATGAAAGCACAGTTGGGGAGGGTGTTCTGTACCTTATTTCCTGAATCTTTTCCACATCAGTGGTGATCTCAGTGAGATTTTCAATCAGAGTCAGGTTGTCCTTCAGCCAAGATATCCTGGGAGGGGGGTAGGCCTGCACGTCCACCACAAAATGTCTGACTTCATGCAGGTTGACAGCTTCCAGCTGGCCAAAGGTGGGTTTGATTTCAACAAACCCTTTCTCTGTACAGGGAAGAGTTTCTGATAAATAATGATAACCGCACATGGATCCCAAGCAGCATGGACGACTGACATTTTAGAAAGCGGAATGTACCATGGACAGAAATGGTGACTTTCTTCATTTCTTTGACCTCCTTGGTGGCCTGGCGGGCAGCACATTCATAATCTCCACTGTCTTTCACCGTGGCCTCAGGGACCGTCAATGTGTACACCAATTTGATGGATGGGACTTTGATTTCCTCCAGCATCGTGACTCCTTTGCCTTTCTACAGAAGGGAAGAAAACTGAGTTTTAAAATGCTTGCTCCTATCCCAAGGTGGTGTTTCCATACCTGTAATCCCAGCGGCTCGGGAGGCTGAGGCAGGAGGATCTCTAGTTCAAAGACAGCCTCAGCCACAGTGAAGCCCTGTGAGACCCTGTCTCTAAATAAAATGCAAAATAGGGCTGGAGATGTGGCCCTCAGTGGTTGAGTGCCCCTGACTTCAGTCCCTGGTACCAAAAAAACAAAAAAAATCAATGCTCACTCTTAATACCAGTTCATCAGTTATTACAGATGCCTACTTTGTGGAGGATATTGATAATAAATGAGCCTATAAAAATGTATAGGGGTTACATCAGGAATGTCTCAATCATGCTGTGAACCTACAGGTACTCTAATATATAAAGTCTAAAAACAAAAACAAAAGCTAGTTCCTCCACTTTCCACCATCTTTCTGTCATCCTAAGCACAGTGCTTAGGATTTCATGACCATCACTAAATCTTTGTTGAATGATTATAGAGATGCCTGTTCACTGAAGGTGGGCCAGGCAGATAGGAGGAGAACAGGAAGGGCCAGTGTCCCTGGGTACCAACCAGCAGAAAAGGGAGAATGTACCAATAAAAAAAAAAGAAAGAAAGAAAATAAAAAATTGGGAAATTATAACTAAAACATCTTTTAAGAAAAAAAGAAGTAAGAAAGGGGGCAGGTAACCAATCCTATCAGATGCCTCAAATCCAAAGCATGAGAGCCAAGACAATGAGAATGAATGGCTTTCTAAGTAATTAATGAATGTGAAAATACAGAGGGCCAGGCACAATGGTACACACCCATAATCCCAGCAGCTCAGGAAGGCTGAGGCAGGAGGAAGGCAAGTTCAAAGCCAACCTCAGCAACTTAGCAAGACCCTAAGCAACTAACATAGCAAGGCCCTGTTTCTAATAAAATATAAAAAAGGGCTGGGATGTGGCTCAGTGGTTAAGCACTCTTGGGTTCAATCCCTGATACCAAAAAAAAAAAACAGGGGTGTTGTTTGCTTTTCTAATTATTTGACTGTTTTCTTGTAGCCACAGAACTTTCCTATTTCTTTCTGAAGTATGAAGAAGAGGGCTCAGTGCAGAACCTTCATGCCTCTTGAGGGTACCTACCACTTCTCCAGGGTAAGTCCACTGCAGGTCGACCACCTCATTGTTAAAAACAGCGCAGGTAACCACGATCGTTTCTCCTGACTTATACACAGTTTTCAGAGCCTCCATTTCTAGATCCAGTTCTGATGTTGCTATAAAAATCAACAAATACAAAGACCTAAACATTCATAATATAGTTAGGGTCTTACAAAATTTAGGTTTGTTTAAGAAAACCCTGAAAAATAATTTGCAAAAGTTTAATCATGATAAAGATTGGAAAAATCTCAGAAACCTTCATTTTGAGTCAGTGTACACCATTTGGCATGTAGTTATAATACTATAGAAATGCAAAATAATAACAATAGTAAAAATAAATTACAATTGAACAGAACACCACATTTGGGTTAGTTACAGTTGAACATTTTTTCAATCACTCTTATTGATGTATTCACTCATTTAATCCACCAATCTTTACTGACCAACACTGTTCTAGATAACTTTAAAATTTTTTTGAATTGGTGCATATTAATTATAAGCACTGGTACACTTCATTGTGGTGTATTTGTGCGTACATAAAAACATAATTTGTTGTCACTCCCCAGTATCTCCCCTACCCCTTCTTTCCTCTCTCCCATCAATCCCCTTTCTCTACCTGGATAGTTTCCCTTCTAGTTTAATGCAGTCTCTCCCCCAACCCCCATTTTTCCTTCCAGATTCCACATAGGGGAGAAAAAGTATGCATTTTTTTCTGAGTCTGACTATGTCATTCAAAATCCTGGTCTCCAATTCCACTTATTTTCCAGCAATGACATGACTTTGTTCTTTGTGGCTGCGTAGAACCCCATGGTGTATTTAGACCACATTTTCTTTATCCCTGCATCTTTTGACAGACCCCTGGGCTGGTGCCATTACTTGGGAATAGGCACTTTACTCCTGTCCCATCATTTTTCTTCCACTCTGCTCCTCAGTTGTTTTTAGCTCCTTTCCAGAACCCAGTATGTGTCTGGCACAAAACTCTTGTTAAGGAACAAGAGTCTGATGGCATACCCTTGCCTACGTGTAGGGTGAATGCTCCAGAAACATCTACCCATCCCAACCCCCCATCTGCTTTGGACCTTCCCATTCACACTAACCACTCACATCAAAGGGATGAAGTCTAAAGTCTACAATAGAGCCTTTTCTCATAACTAAAATCACTTAATTCTTAAATTACTAAAATTAATCCAGGCATCCAAGCCCCCCCGGGGTGTGTGTTTGTTTTTAGGGTCTCTGTCGTCAAGAACATGAATCAAATAGTAAGAAGCTTATGCACAAAAAGAATTCCTTACAGTATTTTAAAGTCAGCCGATAAAACATAAACCTTTTAAGCAAACTTTAGCCTTTAATGATTTTAAGCTTAATGTTAAGCTTAAAACGTATTAAAATTAAAACTATGACCACTGCAGTCAGCAGCATTGTCTAGTAAAGGTGGGGTCCTAAATCCCCAAACCAGAATTCCAGTTCTCCGTTTCCAGGAAGTATGATTAAATTAAAAATCCTACAAGCATCTGATGAATTTTCCTGTTGCTCTTATTTAAAGGAGGAAGAGGGTACAAGTACCTTTCAAAGCATAAACGTTAAAGGGTATGGTCTGGAACTTCTTCCCTTTTACGGTGGCCTCACAGATGTAGGGCCCCACACTGAAGGTCCCATTGAAGCCCTGTTTGCTGTCATAAGAGGCAGGCACCAGTCCCTCACTGTTGCGTAAGATCACAGGAGTCTCCGGGTCTGTGGTACGGCAGGGTATGATGGCAGAATCATCATCTTCCACGATGACTAAATAATCTGTCATCCCTAGAGGCACAAAGGCCACATCCGGGTCTGTAGTTCAGAAAGTAAAGAAGAATCTATTAAGCATTAATTTCACTTTTTCACATATATATACAGAAAAATTATTCCATTGGTGTTTTCTTTTTCTTTCTTTTTTTTTTTTTTTTTTTTTTTGCAATTCTGGAACCAGGAACACACATGCTAGGCAAACATTCTACCACTGAGTTACATCCCCAGCCTGGCATTATTCTTATTAGGTATGAATTTTACTTTTTAAAATATATCCAGAAGAGCATCCCCACCAACATGAGTCACTGTGACCGTCGAAGGTAATTTTTTAAACTCTGAATAACATCAAACTGCCCATACCCTAGTTTAAAAAAAAAAAAATGCTGATGATAAATAGAAATACTAGCAAGCAATTCAAGTCAAAATTTTTAAATGCAAAACAAAATAATACAGTTCAACTCTGTTCAAAACAGGAGAACATAGTCATAATTTTTATATCAGGAAATGCTTTTTAGAAACCAGTAATTCCTACAGCCAATATTACTAAAGAGCAGTACAGAAATCTATCAAAAAATAATGACTCAAGTAATCAAGTTCCTAGCTGGGGATGCAGCCCAGTGGCAGAACATGTGCTTAGCTTCCACAAGGCCCTGGGTTCTATTCCCATCCTCACCTAAAAAAAGAAAAGAAAAAAAAATTACAATTCCAGGGCCTAAAATCTTCTCCTCCAAGAAGCAATGAGTTTAAGCAACCATGGCAAGAAGAACAAAGAGTCTCAAGCACCAGCTGCAGAAAGGAGCCTTGGCCTTCCCCAATCACAAAGAAAAAGACCCCTGTGGGTCAGCAAAGCAGGGACTGCTTGGATGGGGTTTGTGGTGGGAGGGAACAAAAATTTTTGGACAATTTTAGGTGGATCAACACTTTGCGACTCACCTATCTTTAACAAACCTATGTTCCTAGTTCCCACTGTTCTTTTCACAGCAGACAGAACACCCTCCCCCATTCCCCACTCCAGACCCTGTCTCTAAATAAAATACAAAATAGGGCTGGGGATGTGGCTCCGTGGTTGAGTGGCCCTGAGTTCAATCCCTGGTACAAAAAAAAAAAAAAAAAAAGACAAGAAAGGAAAAAACAATATGTAAGAAGAACCTCCTTACCTGACCCAGCCCAAAACAAGAACAGCAAGAATTATAAACAGTTTAACGTTTAACAGTAGCCCTCTTTAATTTGCCCAACAAAATACCAAAATCCTATCACTCACATTTGTGTTTAGATCAAATGCTTGATCTTTGTCACCAAAGATTTCAGCAAACTAAGCTGCCAATTAATTTCAGGTTAAAATACACAGAACCCAGGGCTGGGGATATGGCTCGGCGCTTGCCTCACATGCACAAGGCCCTGGGTTCAATCCCCAGCATCACAGAAAAAAAAAAAAAAAACAAAAAAAACAGAACACATCAGTCAGGACTTCACTAAAATGCTCCTCTTCCCTACCATGGTGCACCGTATTTAAACATCAGAAGGGTCCTTCTTTGAACAGTTGTCCTCCACAGAAGGCAATATACACAGAGACAGAGGACAGCAAGAGAATCACAAAGGAGCACTCAGGGAGGGCCAGGCCGAAGGGAGACCAGAAGGTTTGCAGGCTCACAGGTAAGCCTGGGCACGGCACCTCACATCCCTCCCTCTGACCACAGGGTCCAGCATGATCCAAGGCCTGGCCCAGAAGCCCATGGAAACCTACAGCCACACTCCCTGGGGATAATTCTTCCAATGAATTAATGAAACGGGGACCATAGGCTGGGGTCTTCCACAACCTCCTCAGCCAGGACAGCAGGCTGGAACCCAATCACCCCACGGTCACTGACCAGGCAGTATGATGGTTCTCCCAGCCTCTGCAGGATCCCTCCCGTTTCCTCTCCTAGGCCTTCCCCCTGATAACACCCTCACCTGCTTAATCCCATTTTACTCCCATCTCGACACAGGATAACGTCATTAGCATGGGGTCTTCCCTCACTAAATTCACTTAAAGTGAGTAGAAATGAGTCTATTTCAGACTTTGCACAATGCCAATCAAGGACACGCCATATGAAAGATGATTTTTCAAAATTTAGTACAGATCTGAAGTATCAACAAGAAATATTGCTTGATAATGACATTACAAATGATCTTTATTTATTTTGCAAGTTCCTCTAGGCACAATGAGGAGCACCTATACTCCCAGCTATTTGGGAGGCTGAGGTGGGAGGATCTCTAGAGCTCAGGAGTTTAAGACCAGCCTGAACAACACAGCAAAGACTCCTTCTAAAAATGAATATTTTGGGGGTGGAAGAGTGATACCAGGGATTGAACCCAGGGGCACTCGACGACTGAGCCACATCCCCAGCCCTATTTTGTATTTTATTTAGCAACAGGGTTTCATGGAGTTGCTTAGCACCTTGCTTTGGCTGAGGCTGGTTTTGAACTAGCAATCCTCCTGCCTCAGCCTCCTGACCCACTGGGATTACAGGCGTGCACCACTGTGCCTGGCTCAAAATGAATATTTCTTGATAATGATTTTACAAATGATCTTTATTTAATTTTGCGTGTTCTCTATTTTTAAAATTTTCCCTAATAAATACTTAGTAATTTTACATTTTAATAAATCTTAGCACAGTTACAAAGACCTTGCATTTGATTGCCCCTCCCCGTCTTCCCACAACACACACACACACACACACACACACACACACACACACACGAAGCAGTTATCCTGAGAGACAGGCCAAGTAGCCCGTCCAGGGGAGCCTTCCAACTCACCTGGCACATAGATGTAAATGTGCCTGCCTTCAATCTCGCTTTCTTCTGTCTGAGTGTGGTTGTAATAGCAAGTGTACAAGCCAGTGTGGGCCGCCGAGGCACTGGCCACTTCCAGCACTGTCACAAAAAGGCCACTGTTGTTCTCTTCATCTATGATTTCCACATTGGGGTTCTCTTCTTCAGACATGGGGTACTGCCAGCTCACTTCACTCTCCCCAAAGCACCGCAGAGAAAAGGATGCATTCAGCTGCACAACCTTTTCATTCTCATTTGGAAGGATGGAGGGTAATGAAAGCTGGCAGAGGATTAGGCCCGGCCCTGTAAAAGGAAACACGCTCTGAATAGGGTGCAGCCAGAAAGGACGGTCTCACTCAGGGAACTGAGAGGAGCCACAGTAGCAGCCACACGAACAATGACCATTTCTACACAAAAATCCGTTAGCCTGGATGCTCATGAAAGGACCCCCATTATAACAGCCACTGCATCTGCTGAGAGCAGTGAGTATTCCAAGGGCCTCAATAACCCCACCAAAGCCCCCAGTTTCGCCCCTCCAAACACTCAGATGGATGGAGGACATCTGATCCCAATTCCATATTTCAGTCTCTTATGTGTGACCATGAAATATCCCAAGACGGCATGGGCTCAAGCACACATGGGTCCTTTATCTTGTAGATTCCCTGAAGAAATTCCCCTTAATTAAAAAAAAAAGATGAGGGGTCTGGGGATGTAGCTCAGCAATAGAGCTCTTGCCTAGGATGCATGCACCACAATAAAAGGGAGGAGGGGGGAACAAGGGCAGGGAAATGGTCTGAATGAAGCACAGAGCAGATCTGTGCTCAAGAATGACGCATCTGCCACTTCTTCCAGCCCTCTAATGCTGTCACTCTCTAAAGTGAAGAAGCCAAACTTGAAGAAGCCAAAGCAGGATGATGCAGATTCATTCACAAATAATAGATAAAGCCGAAGAGCACAAACTCTTAAGTTCATCTTAGGAACTCAAATTTCAGTCTAGCTTCCCTCATCTTATAGAACAGACAGAAGAGATTATAACTTAATGAATAGCCTCTAATATACCTTGGAGGCTAATGTGGGAATAATCCCATCCAACTTCAACATGCCACCACTGTGGTTCCTGGGCTTGTTGGGATAGCAGTTGTCAAGGCTACTGGGCCAACCAACACCCTATAGGTGGGGCACACTTAGTGGAGCTTAGAATTTTTAAGTCTCTGGTCTTGCTCAATTCCATGGTGCCCATGTGGGTAAACATAAAGACATGAGGCTAACTTAACTCCTCGGGCTGGAAAGGCAGTGGATTCAGGGGAGCATCTGCATTGCATAAATACCTGGGTGAAAACTAGGGAAATCTGATAAATGTTTCAAGAAATGGCACATGGCATTCTCTCGATGAGAAAGTACAATAGTATTCCTCCAGAGTTAAACACTTACCTATCAATTAGATTCCTAGACAGGGTAGAGGTGACTTGGAGACTTCCAAGCATCATGAGCATTTTTCATTAGGGCAAGTTGATTTGACAGGTATGATGGCCTGGGCAAGAATTTTCTATTCTTTATTTCCTTTGAATAGGCTTGAATTTTTCTGATACACCTCTCCCAGCAGCCCAGAAGAAGGTAGCAGGCAAGATTGGACTATTATAACTAACATTTCAATGCCAGGTGTATATATATACTTTTTTTTTTTGTCTCAAACTAGCACAAGAGATCTTTTTGAAATGGAATTAACTCAAAGCAGCAAAGGAAACTGATAATCCGTGATCATTCCAGACAATTTTCCATTTCGGTTTGCAATCTTGTGAACTACATGCTCAGAGTACACAGAAAACAGGGCTCCCCAGGACAGGGATCATACCTGTGAGGAGACAGCCGAAGACCAGGAAGGCCTGATGGGAAGTCCCCATAGCTCCGGAAAACTGCAAAAGTCAAAAGCCAAACAGAAACAATGTTAGCTAATAGGAAACAACCCTTGAGCCTAGTTCTCTTTATACTTTGCATGATCAAAAATGTCAACTGCAACACTTTAGCAAAAAATAAAAAGTAAAAAAAAAAAAAAAAAACAGTCCTCATTTAAGATCCACTGTCAGAGGTCTAAAAAGAAAGAATCAATAGCCTGGTGGGACTCCAAGATTACGACAGGATCTGAAGCCGAAATACCTTTTGGATCACCTGTAGCTTTCAGAATTCCAACAAGTCCCAATTTATTGTCTTGGAGAATACAGGAGAATTATTCTTTAGACCATTTAAATTAAGAATACAAAAATAAAGAAATAAATGTTAATGGATTTTTTTTTCTCAGCTTCTCAACTAGAGCAGTTCTTTCTCCAACTGGATTGTCCCTCCTTCCATATCACAATTCATCAAAAGTCTCATCCTCTACGACTTTCAGAAAAGTTGCTTGGGCTGGAACAACTTTTAATATGAAAGTATCTTTCTGATGTAGAGTTTGAGAAAGTCCCACTCACTGATGTCACTTACAAGACACCTGTCCCGCTGCACCCCAGCTCATGCTGGAGACTAAGCTGGGGCACAGAACAACATCCCAAGCCCAGCCGGGGTTCGGGTTAAGATCAGGAGGATTTACAACAGGGCTAAGCAAGGCATGGGACACTGGGCACAGCTTGAATGAGGAAACAGGTGAGGACAGTGCCTGAACTCCTGTGTTCAATCATGCCCTTTCACATTAAGGAAACAGCACTGCAGAGACCTATTTCCCACAACAAAATTTGGGGAGTGGAGAAGTGGAGAAAGAGATGGAAACAGAACATCCACAAGACACAAACGGGCCAAGCAGTGGGCAAGAAGAAAAGAAGGGAGGGAAACAAAAATTCAGGGAGAAAAAGAAATCAAACTGGGCACCGTGGCACATGTCTGTAATCCCAGCAACTCAGGAGGCTGGGGCAGGAGGATGGCAAGTTCGAGGCCAGCCTCAGCAACTGTCTGAGACCCTCAGCAACTCAGCAAGACCGTGTCTCAAAATACAAAGGGCTGGGCTGGGGTTGAGCTAAGTAGCAGAGCACTTGTTTCACACATACGAGGCATTGGTTTCCATCCTCAGCACCACATGTAAATAAACAAACAAAATGAAGATATTGTGTCTATGTATAACTAAAAAAAAACTTTAAAAATAAAGAAAAAAAAAAGGAGTGTGGCTGAAAGGTAAAGCACCTCTGAGTTCAATCCCCAGGACCACCAAAAAAATGAAAAATAAACAGAGGAGTCCGTGTCACCTGCAGTAAAACCACTGACCGTCTATTCTGTGGCTCGATGAAAGGACCCCTTTGTCTTTTCTTTCTCATCTATTCTTCCACTCACTTTATCCCTCCTCTACCTCCCAGGTCAAGTCACTGATAAGCCCTTTTGCTGAAATCAATGAAAAGGAGCTGCAGGTGGGCATGCAGGTACTGGGGCCTCTAGGCAACCAACTTGCACTCCTAGGCCCTGAGCAGGAATGAAAGCTTTAAGATAATCATAGTGGGGGGTCCCGCTGCACCCCAGCTCATGCAATGGAGCAAGCTAAGGGGACTCGGTTTGTCACCTCTGAGACTAAGTTGTGTGCCCAGGATTCCTGGGTAGCTGTCTTTACAAGCCTGGGGGGCTGGGGGTCAACCTATGTCCTACTTAGCCCTAGCTGTTATTTGGTTGTTTTAGTTGAGGAGGATCCAGTCGATAATGGCCTAAATGTAGTTCCTGGTGGTGCCTGGTCATGTGTTTTGGCTTTACAGTGACCCGGTTGCAGAAATTTAATTTCTGCTTCACTGGATTCTATCAGAAAAATGGAAGAAGAAGAAGGACCGCTGAAAGATGGAATGCTGGAGGTGGGAGAGTTGGAAAGGAAAACATAGGAGAATGAGAAATCTTCATTTACTAAGCCAAAATTTGTATGTGTATTCCTTGTTTGAATAACTCTGTGACAGCTAAGTCCAAGAAGTGGCAGTTGAGGCCCAGAGAGGTTTAGCAAATGACTCAAAGACACACAGCTGGTGGAAGCACCAGGATTGTAACAGGGTCTCTGTGATGCAAAAGCTCTACTCTCTCCACTCCACTCCAAGTCTCTCACAAGGGAAGGTCAGTGTCCTGTCCTCTTAGATGCCCACTATTTCCTAATGCAAATGGGAACCCCCCTCCCTTTCTTTCCCTGCTCACCACAGTGGGAGAAATAATTGCAGTGATGTGAACCCAAGTGCAGTCAGTTCACAGGAAGCTAGCTGGCTGACGGCTTCTGGGGATCTTGGCGGGTACTGGGAGACACAGGGTTTCCCCACAGCTGCGGTTGCAGGCACAGGGGCCCCCAGAGCCAGGCTGGCCGCCTGACTTACCACAATTAGCAGTACCGGCCTGCATGTTTGTACATACAAATATCAGCCTCCCGCTGATAACCCTCTTAGCAGACTTCAAAGTGGCTTCCAGCGCCAGCTTGATGTCTTGAGTTTTATCACATTTCTATTCAGCATCTCTGCAGCCAGGCTTGCTGGCCATGTCTCTTTCAAGCATTGGCAAGTTTAGGAGAGGGACTCCCTGCTTTTACAGAGCATATGACCCTGGCCAGGCCCCACCAGATTTCCTTCTGTGTGTCCAGATAGCGGGGACCTGCTGCAGGGAGGATTACTGACTGACATACAAAGTGGGCAGTGAGCACAGGGCCTCCCGCAGAGCGACAGTGACCCCAAGGCTGAGCATCAACACGCGTTTGCTTAAGATTTCAAAATCCCGTCTCAGATAACATCAGTTCCCTGACTAGAGACCCAGGCGTATTTGTGAAATTTCATGTCATTACTCACGGGTAACTCGGACCACGTACTAGTGAGTGATTGCAGAGTGTCCGTCCCACAGGGAGGTGACGGGAAAGAGGTGCCCCTCACCTATTGGCCCTGTGGGAGTGAGTCTTGCTCTTCCTAGTGCTTTTCTACTCTGGAAGGAAATGTTCCTTCTATCCTGAACATCATCCTCAAGTCAGGTGGGCAAAAACAAGTCACTGAGGTCACAAATTCTGAGGTGCCAGAAGAGTCAGTGGCGACAGACACTTTCCAGGGAGAAAAAGCAGATGTCATTCAAATCATTTCTCTCTTTCTTTGTGGATAGAACTTTATTTTTATTTATTTCTATGCGGTGCTGAGAATCAAACCCAGGGCCTTGCACATGCTAGGCAAGCGCTCTGTCACTGAGCTACAACCCCAGCCCCTCAGATCATTTTTTTTAATCATTCATTATTTCTCTCACCCAACGATATGTTGGATTCAACCATCCTCCATATTCACAGCTCAAAAAGCATTTTCTACAAGTGAAGAGAAACAAGCTGGGAAAAGAAATCTGTGCCACGTTTGCTCTCAAGCAGGTAACGTGGTTTTTTGTTCCTTCTCTCAGAAAACACAGTACAAATCACATTGGACTAGGTTCTGTTCCCAGATGTGACTCTTTGTCCATCTCTCTGAACCTCAGTCTCTTCTTCTATAAATTGGGATTAATAATATCTGACTTGCTGGCCCTTCAATATTATGCGGGACTCACTTAAATAGCTGAATACAAAGGGCATTAGTTTTCAGATTGATTCTTTTTCTACAGACTCCTAAGATGTATTATATGAAAACAACATCAGAGGTGGCTATTTCCAGCCTTGTCCTGTATCACTGGGGAGGTGGATCTGAACTCTGAATTCATCCCAGGCCAGTGGTCCACTCCCATGTGCTTGCCACTTCCCGCCTGATATAGCTGTGAAAAGTATTAGGAGATCAATCAATATAAACAATCCCATAAAGAGAGAAACGAGTCTGACTGCAGCTACACCCGTTCTCTTGAACGGTGTACCATCTCGTTCCCTGCAATCAGTAATGAAGAGCCACTGAAGATGGACTTCAAGGGAAGACAACCATGCTCAGAGAGTGAAGAGGAAATAAGCAATGCAAGGGTCCTGTGTCCAAAACACCATGTCATTCCTCTCATCAAATCACAGCCAGCTTCTCCATCACCACCAGCACAACACGTCCCACCGCAGGACCATCGAATATTGAATTTCACTCCACCCCGGCATGATTAAAAACCACAAGAGACACTCTCAGGGCCCCAAAGCCACTGATGACCTCAAGATTCAGATTTCCGAGGTCGGGTTAATTTCGGCTCTCCTAAGTTAATTCTAACTGTGAAAATTACACATCTAACTTGTTCTCGGCAAAGTTCTACGCAGTCTCATAACTTCAGCCCAGGCAACCCCAATTCAGGTCTACCTCAGTGGCCACTTGTGTTTTCCAGTGAAGACTATGTTTCCCAGGATCTGCGCCCCACCAGAACTCTGTTGTTTTGCTCTTCCCGGAGCTCCATCAGGCATTCCAATGATGGGTGGGAGCTGGAGGATTTTTACACGGGAGCATTTTATGGGACAATCAGAATTCATAAATCTTTCTGCTTCCATGAACCAGATATTTAACCATGGGAGAACAAAATGACACTTTCTTCTAATCAACACTAAACTGATATGACTCTTAATGGGACAACCTTATTGAGCATTTAACTTGAGGTCACCAAATCCCCCAAACTAGGTCTCCTTGCTTGTAACAGGAACTCAAATGCCCGCCTATCTCCTCACAGTTCTACCCTGATCATCAGAAGTGGAAGGTAAAGCCTTTGCTCATTAGTAAATTAGATGATTAACAATCTGGACCGAGGGCTGGGGAGTGTACCTCCGTGGTAGAGCATTTTCCTAGCATGCCTTTGGCCCTGGGTTCCATCCCCAGAACAAGAAAAAAAACGGCAGAAAACTACATAAATGTCCACAAAATAAATGTCCGTCAACGTTTCTTGCAGCTAAGTTCTCCTAACTGGCGAAAAACGTTTCTTCCCCCTTGCTTGGAATCTCCTTGAAGCTTACTCCGAGGGTCATGGCAGTTCTTTAGAATGGCCAGTAGATGGCAGTGTTGGTCCAAAGACGTGCATCCCTGGGTTCCCTGATACACAGACGTCACCGCAAAGAATTCTGAGCTAAAATTCCCCAAATCTTAACTTACAATCTTCCTTTCTTAGGCTGTACTTTTAGGTTTCGTGGTGATCTCTGCTGAAAGCCTTGAATAGAAATCAAATATAACAAAACTGCTGTCGAAAATGCCTGAATCCCCTCAGGGCCCCAGGCTAGAGGCGGGCACCGCCACGATATCGCTAGGAGCGGTGCGCCAGGCAACCTGGCCTCGGCATCCAGGAGGACGCTGCTCTGCCAGACAGTAAAAGTTCAGCAGGACCCGTCTCTCAGGTATTGTGGAGCCCACGCCTTCACCACTTCGCGTTTCAGCCCGTCTGAGCAGGGAGACCACCTGGGCCAAGCCGAGGGGGTCCGCGATGCAGGTCCCCAGCCGCGCAGTCCAATCTGTTCCTTGCCATTTTCACCCCTCATAAACCCGCCCGGCAGGGACCGCAGCCTGGCTGATTGGAAACGACCTTTCCGCTGCACAATAACGCAGGGTCGTAAAACAAACAAACAGCAACAGGCCGCTGGCGCGGCAGGGCAACTTGTGCCAGGCTGGAACGCAGAAGCTGGCAACTGTCCCCCAAGAGAGCGCGGGACTTTGGTCCTCCGCAGACTGAATTATAATTAACACTCCAATTATCCAACCCAAACCCGGGACCTTAGCTCCCTTTCGCCCACCCAGCGCCTCCAGGTACCAAGAGCGCCTGCCGGGAGTTATCCAAGGCCCCCAGAAGAGGTAAAGGTGACCCTGATGATCCTAATTTCTAGGGGCCCTAGCTTCCAGCTCCGTTCCGCGACTGCGGCGCCGACCCTGGGTTAGCGGACACGGGGCTCGTCCCGGGATCCCGCTAGAGGGCGCGGCAGCGCCGCGTATCTTACCCGGCTGGCTCGCTCCGAAGCCCGCAGCTCAGACTCCAGGTCCCAGGCAGCGCAGCCGGGACCGCGACTTGCAAACTTTCCCTCCGAGGTTCTGCACCAGAGACGTTTTGCTCCCGTCACCGCCACACCCACACCTTCGCGGCGTGGGCCGCTCCACCTTCGGTCTCCTCCACGCTCTGGGAGGCTCGGTCGCCACTGTATTGGTGGTGACGCCGGTCCACTCCGAGGTCCCACTCCCCTAGTCGCCGCGCTCCCAGCCACAGAGCAGAAGATGCCGCCACACCCCAGGCACGACGCTCGGCGTTTGCATTGTTTTCGACTGAGACCTGAGAGGGGGCCGGGCGGGGTAGAGGGAGAGGGGCTGGGCGGGGTGGAGGGAGAGGGGCCGAGGGGTTTAGGGTTACAAGCGTGCACCAGCGCCTCCTGTGGGCCAGAGAGCCACACGGCCACGGGCGGCGGTAAGAGGGTCAGACCTAGGCGAGGGAAGCCTGAGCCCCCTCAGCTTTTAAGAAATTGGCCTTCTCCTGTACCCACCTGGCCCGACGCTCGCCCTAGCCGCTACCGCCCCCGAGCACACCCTAGTCCACTGTCGCCTCTTGCTCCCCTTTCATCGGGGAGGGAGAACTGTAGTAGAAGGAAGGGAAGGAGGCGACCCTAGTCTGAGGTTCCCTTTTATCCCCTCCCACCATCCACTCTCCCAGCCCATCCCCGGTTCGCCGTTCAGTTTAAAACAAAAGGAAATGCCGCCGAGCCATTTCAGCAAAAGGCTAGCACCGGCAGGGCTACAGTGTAGTCGGGAAAAGCAATCTCCCCTGGCCCTGAATCCCGCGCTGGGCGCGATCCCGCAACATTCCTTACGCCCCTCTTCCCCAAGGCTGATGCTGCAGGGAGACCCCGCGCGCTGGACGCGAGGGACACTAAAAGCCGCACCTTTTGGTCACTTATTCAGTTTCTTTTGCTCTTTCCACTAAAATTGTCACTTTTTACAGTGTGTAACCTAGTGCCAGCTCCCAGAAAGCCAGAAGGAGTCCCACCCATCGAGGTCTACAGGAAGACGCTGGCCACCACGTCCCCAGGACGCGCGCCGCCCACGGCCTGTCCCCAGGAGGCACAAAACGGGCCCGCCTCGGCGCCAGACGCGTTTTCAGCTGCAAAGCCCAGCCCGTTGCCCCTCCCCTTGCATCCCTCCCCTGTCTGCGCCCCGGGAGGAAAGCAGCCCCGGCCGAGAGTTGGGCGCCTGGGCTCTGTTTCAAGTCCCTGGCGATTTAAGAACTGGATCAAGATCGCTGGGCACAAGGGACCATCTACGACTTGCTCCTGGCGCCTCCCTCTCCTCTGGCGCCCACTCACTCTCTAGAGCAAGGTCCAGCTGTAATTGGGTGAATCCAGAAGCAAGACTAGGCAAGAGCTCCGACGCAGGGACTGACCAGGGCGTCACAGTAGGACAGGACAGGTCCCCGGCTGTTTGGGAGTCAAGAAAATGTTCCTCTTCAAGAGGACCGTAGAAAGAAAGAGGCCGAGGACGGGGAGGAGGTGCAATGGCAGAGTCCAGGTCGGCCGATGGAGAGCAGGGTTATGTAAAAACCAGAGCCAGCGCGGCTGTGGGTGAGGTCCGCAAGCTCGGGGGCGCCCCTCCCTCTCCTCTGGCGGCCCAGGACCTCGCAGGGATGTCGTGCCCCGTTTGCCTTCAGACTCCATAAAGCTTCCTAGTTCTGATTGGGAGCGATCGAGGCGAGACGAGTGGGTCCAAAACATTGAGCAATATGGCCTTGGAGCCAAAAAGCTATTTCCCACACCGCCCAGTCCGGGGCTTTTCCAGGCAGTGCAGCCCCGCGCAGGGTGGCCCAGACTTCATAGGGACCATCCACGCTTCCTCCCAGCCAGTGTTTTCCTCCCACCCTCGAAGATGGACTCAGTGTCAAGTTCCTCCAAGCAGTTTCCGCACATTCCGAGGTCGTAGCCTGGGCTGGGGGATGTCTAGTGCGGGACGGGCGCCCTGGCTTCGAAAGAGACCTACAGTAGACAGAGTGTCCCGCACTTCCTTTCTGACTAAGGCGCGACGCCAGGGCATTGGCACTCCGTACACCTGGCCGGGCCGTGCAGACACCATCCGGCTGCACGCTCGGGTCGGGCCACACTCTCCCTTTAGCAATGGGCTGGTCAACACCCTTTCCGAACAGACCGCTGACCCCAATAATTTCAAAGCCAAGTGGACGCCGCCCGCTCCCCTGGCGCTGCCCAGAGGAGTTAATCTCAGGTGTAAAAACTGAAGGAAAGATGCGCTTAGAAGGTTCGGAAGCCCGCAGGGAGGCCGCCTCTGGGAAAGAAATACAGAAAGGGCGATTGGTGAGGATGAAGCTGCGCCGGATGAGCGCGGGCGGCCAGTGCCACGCATCCCAACACGGAGAGAAGCACCAAGGGGAGAGAGTACCCCAGGCTGGGGTGCCCACAGGATGGGTGAGGACGGTTGGCCTCTCGCCTGTCTTACCAGCAGCCAACTTTGTCCGTTTCGGGTAGTTTCTGACTTCCTCACAAGAAGGTCAGCACTTTGGGGGAAGCTTGCACTCTTTTCTGCTTGCGGCCGGGACTGAGCAGAAAAAACGAGCACCGGGCTTTGCAGAAACGATTCCACTGAGAAGGAGGCGAGTGGAGACCAGTGGGGGGTGGGGACCACCGTGCACAATGAGGGCCCCTTGGAGTGCAGCTCCAAATTCCTTAAATCCCAGTTGCTGGAATGCGAGGCAACGACGACTTTTTCACTCGAGGCCAAATGTGTTTGTCATTACTCCAGACCGTTCGCCCGCGCCGCCGCTGTCGCCCCCGCCAGAGGCACTCAATCCGAGCGCACTGCGGGGCTGGTGCCGGCTGTTTCTCACACCTCACTGACCCAGCAAATCGCTCCGGAGCTCCCCAAACCCTCGCCCAGGCCGGTTCTCGGCTGGTCCTGCCTCCACCGCAGCGCTGAGTCTGGCCCCGGCTCGCACCAGGCGCAGCGCCGTCCAGTAATTACGCGCGGTTGGCTGGCGCCATGTGCACCCGGCAGGCACCCGAGGTCCGGCCTCCTCCAGGCAAGCCCTTCACACCTCCCCCGCCTCAAAACCCTTTCCCGCGCCCCACTCGGCGCCCTGCTCTCCCCACCTCTCCGGGTCCTCCAGCCGCGCTCCACACCACCGGCTGCTGCAATATCCCGCCAAACCGCGAACGAGGAATGAAAATACTCATTAAAAACCTGTCGCCTTCCAGGACCCACTGCCAAGAAGAGGGCAAACACCTCTACCTCCACCCCCAGCGTTACTTGGTGTTTGTCCCAGTATCCACGAATACCACCCCACCTCCAAAGAAACCTCAAAAATGTAAGCCTAAACAGTTTCTTTGGGAGGCCATAGGGTTGTTAGAAAAACACTGCTTTTAAAAAATAGGTCTGGAAAATGTTGTTGTTGTTGTTGTTGTTGTTCAATTTCAGACTTCCTAACTCTATGGTTACACCCTCCAACCCCCTGAAATTTATTCAGAATAAATTACTCTCTGGATACATAACTGAAATTCAGCTCCACATTTTTTCTTCTTTTTTCTCCTCGCCCCAAGTTTGAAGTTAACTTCGCTTCTTCCAGAGCCAGAGTCTGATCATTTAGAAACAAAATCATTTTTTCCTTTCTCTTACCTTCTCCTCCTATGTCAATCCGAAATGGAAATCCTATACATGGAGTAAAAAGTATGTCCACGGCCTCCAAGTCACTGCTGCAGTCCTCTCCTCTGTTTCTCTCCTTCTAGTTCCAACTGTAATGGGCTCAAAAACCGCGTTTTGTAATTGATTCAATGTTATAGTCCATCCTTCTAAAACTAATCATTTGCTCTAAGTAAATAGCTGTCAGGAAATGAACCCCCCCTTCCTTGGCCTCTTCAAAATAAAAGTTACCCTAGAACTCCCTGCACTCTGAATCTCCCAGTCTCCAGATTGCGCCTTGGCTTTTGCTCTTACGCAATCAGGGGGTCCGGTCCCAACCCCCAGACTTCAACAACAACTGGCTGGGGGGAGGCTGAGAGGGGGCGGGCGGGGAGCAGACCAGATGGGGTGGGGGTGGTTGAAAGGGGAGGTGTTGACGCTCTGCCGGGAAAGGGGTTTCGTGGAACTACAAACAAACCGTCATTTCCAGAGTTTGCCTCCCAATTTGGGGGATATTTTCCTACGATGCTATAGCTGTGTATTCTTTTTGAGAAGAAGAAAAAGATCACGTAAAATTGTAGTTAATGCCCAGAAAGAATATAATCTGGACTTGAGAAATGTCCCTCTGTAGCAACTCCTGGCCTAACCAGAAATAGGGCCCTGGAGCGAAATCTCTAAGAGGTTGCGTCGTTTTGAACTAGGATCCTTGGGGTACTGGGGGTGCGGGGGGGGGGAGAGGTTGGGGGGGGAACCATGTAGTTGTTAATCCTTTAATGGGATTAGGCAAACGGTTGAGTCCAATAAGATGATGACTGGTTTTTGAAAGACTAAATGGAGTCGAAGATAGAGTACAAATAACCGAGAATCTGCTTAAATTGGGAACGTTTTGGCACAGAACGACCTTTATGCCCTAGGAGCCACTTATCTTGTTGTGCCTTTGTTATGGGGATTATCTGGGAGAGGTTGCCCTAGCTTCTATCTCCATACAAAAGACCTCAGGCTTGGGTGTCTGGAGGACCGTCTAAAACAAGCCTGCCACCTCCGCATCCCGGGGAAGGGTGCATTTTGACTCTCCCTCAATTCCTTCCCACCGAATGGATCGTACGCTAAAGTTGAGCCTCAAACCCGGTGCCCCAGACCAGAAGAGACAGTATTGGAAAAGCACAATCCTGATTGCGAGGGAAAGGGGGCGCTGATGCTCCAAGAACCAGACTTGCGCGGAGTGGGACAGCCCAGAGAGGGCGGGGGAGGGGAGCCCATTAGCCTTCCGCGCTCGAATTTTGAATTATCTTGCTTGGGAGAGGTGGGGGGAGTCATCCTTTATCCTCCTCTCCCACCCCACCATCCACTCCACACACCCTTCAGTGGGCAGAGCGACCTGGTTGAGACTGGCACGTCGAATAGCCAAAACTTCTGCCTGAACCCAGGATAGCGGGCAGAGGAGGGTCATAGAGAGAAGCTCCAAAGAGCGTGGAGCTGTACTTAACTGGGACAGGATCGTGGGGTGTCAAACTCTAAAAGAAAAAAAAAAAAACTCCTAGGGCGGAGCTGGGGGCTTCATTCCCCCGGGCTCTTCTGCACGCCCTTCTCGTGCATCTTCAGCTCGAGTGACTGCACTGCTCGCTATTACTTCCACATGTTCCTTCAGGAAATCATTGAAGGCAAATGTATGAACAGCCCCTTGTTCGGAATGCTAGCAGGATACCGTAATGTTTGTAGATAATGAACGGGGACTAAGGACCCCCTCAAAAAAATCAGAGTGCGAAGGTAAAGGGGGAAGCCGGTACCGGCATTCGTGCAATTATTAACTATAAGTTGAGGTCTGAGTTTTTATACCTGGAGCCCAAAAGGGAAAGAGGCGAAGTAGGGAGCCTGCCAAGGAGGGCCCCCCTTTGCGACGCAGTTACGGCCAGCTGGTTCAGGCCGCCGCGGGCTCTATCTAGCACGCAGGGGCCCAGCGTTCCCCGCAAATGGTCACTTCACAGTTCATTTTAGAGCCCTTTAGAGGGGCCCAAAATGCGGGCTAGGCGGAGGTGTCTCCGAGCAGAAACTCCTCCGGAGTTTGAAGCAGAGAGAAATGGATGAGCCAGCGAGGACCCAGTTGTCCTTCTGGTAGTAATTACCTGCCTAATTTGAATGATGCCTTTGTTATGATCATTAACAAACATTTGCTAAAGGTTTCCATGTGTGACATTCTCAAAGGTTTAAAGGCCTGGGGAGCTGACTCCTGGGACAGCGACCCGGTGGGGGGTGGCGCAGGGAAGCAAATGGTTGGGGTGGGGGGAGATTTCGGCGAGGCTGGATCGAGCAAAATGAAGAGAGGTCAACATCTGCCTCCCCTGCCAAAGCAAAATAAACCCAGTGGTCAGGAGCAACCTCCGGGCAGGAGGCCCTCGAACTGAGGCGGGTGGTTTCTTAA